TCCTTTGCAAGAGATCTCTGATCTCAATGGGATTTTCCTGTTTAAATATAGGTTAATAAATTCAAGGCTTATTCGTGAAATCAATCACAGTGGTTCCCAGACTTTGGAGTCTACACATCTATATCCTGAAACTTGTTTCATTTTCTGGTGCACCTCCTAATGAAAACTTCTCCTAACCAGTGTAGGAGGCTATGCAAACATGTTAACAGATTAATTATTGCTTCAAGTGAGCATTCATCCATCCATTATCTTTTAACCGCTTCTTCCATTTTGGGTCATGGGGGTCGCCGGTGCCCATGTCCAGCAATCACTGACCTCAGGGCTCTGGATGGAGTGTAGGGCTGCAGCAGTTCGCTTAGGTAAGATGAGCCCATGGAGTTTAAACACTTAAAAACAATCAATAAAACTTTAAATTTCACCCAAAAAGCTACAGGGAGCCAGTGAAGGGAGTGCAAAACGGGGACAATAGATTCACGCCTCCTTGTGTTCGTCAACAGACGGGCTGCAGCATTTTGGAAACTCTGCAATCACTGCAGGGAGCCCTGGTCCAACCCTAAACACAAAGAATTACAATAATCCAAATGCGTGGATAGTCCTCTCAAGATCAGGACGAGGAAGATAAGGTTTTATCTTTGCAAGGGTCTTCAGCTGGAAGAAACTGGCTTTGATAACAGTGCAAATATGAACAAAAAAGGTTACATAATTTCATCTGGACAAGTTTCTTCAAGGGAGAAACGTTTCATCTTCCATCCAGAAGGCTTCATTAGTCTGCAGCCTCCCAACCAGATCTGTCCCATAGGTAGCCTTCATTGCTGTGTTTCAAGCCAACCACCTGTTGGAATCTCAGAAGCAGCTTTTAACACATGCCAAAGGACCCATCCATCCAAAACAATCAATCATCGTACAACAATCAAATGTTTTAGGCCAGAGGGCCAACTTGCTACTCACAGAAACGGCATGTGGACACCAAGGCCAAAATGGTTCAGAAAAAAGGTTTTGTAGGCTCAGATAACACCAAAAAAGGTTAAATCATTTCATCTGGACCAGTGCTAATATGCTTATCAAATTTAAACAGAGGATCAACCATGACACCCAGATTTTTTTACAAATGGACGACAGAAGGAGGACAAAGGACCAACCACACTGTCGTGCCCAAGCAGGGGGTTACATTGACCAAGCACCAAAATCTTAGTTTTTTTCCTTATTCAGGTTCAGAAAATTTGCTCTCAACCATGCCTGCACGTGCCTAAGACAATCCTGTAACATATATACAGCAGACTGGCTGTCATTTGTAGTTACAGGTAGATATATTTGAATGTCATCTGCAAAACAATGAAAAGAGACTTGTTCTTTTTAACGATAAAACCCAGAGGCAGCAAGTACAAGGCAAAAAGAACAGAATATGAATATTTAATTAGTGATGTTTTTTTATATGTTATGCATTTTATTTTATCCTTAGATCAACAAACACTCAAAGAGTTTAATATTTGAATAAAACACACTGAAACTACTTTATAGAATATAAGTTTCGTTTTCATTACTCTAAGGAGGCTCTGAAGTACCAAGTGTGGTACGTTAACATTTTTTTTGACAGTCTCTTCTTTCAGATTGCCTTTGCTTCTTATAGGCTTAACCACTCAGCTCTCCCAGTGCAAGTTATGACTGTTTAATCCCACCAGCAACACGGATTGCTGTCAAAGTCTCACAGAACTTGACAAATGATAGAACGAGAGCTGCTGGGATTCAGTCCAGGCTAAAATGTTGACTCATGGTTCCTGAAAATCCCTTTCGCTAACTTCCTTCAAGCTTACAGGACTTTCCTGAGCAAATTAATCTTCCATGTTCTGAAACATTTCCTCACAGCAAAACGGCATCACCAGGAGCCTCACTGCGGCACTGCAGACTGCTCACTATATTAAGACATGTTTTGTGACACGGTGGTCAGTTTAGATCTTTCCTACAGTTGTGGACATCCTTCTCAATTAAGTTTTTGTCCGAGTGAAAGTCTCATTTTACAAGCTGACTTTAACTGCACAAGTCATAGTGTAAATTAGTTTAGGTCTTGACAGCATCCATAAATGATTTATTACCTCCTGTCACAAGCTCCTGATTGGGCCATTTGTGTTTAATGAGGCTAAATTAGCATAAACATTCAAACGAAGACAGCATTCATAAGGTCAGCTTCTTCCCTGCTTACCTTGATAGGTAAGGCTATTTTTACACTTCAGAGAATGAGAAGGGCCTCTGGGGTTTTCACTCAGAGAACATGCCACATTTTCAGTGTCTGTGTGTGTGAGGGGTGCATGTGTGTGTGTGTGTGACTTATTTTTTATTTGCAGCATTTTAATCCCGACCGGATCTTCATCAGGCCCAAAATTTCTGACAGTAGTGAATACACCAATAAAAACTTTCTATGAAGACTATACAAATATACAAAAGTCTACACAAATACTAACAATACATGTTCAGTGAAAAAAAACTACTAATACAGTGGTGATTGAATGTTTGTGAGCTCTTTATAGTCTTCTATATTTCTGCATAAATATGACCTAAAGCATCATCAGATTTTCACAAAGTCCTAAAAGTAGATAAAGAGTACACAGTTAAACAAATAAGACAAAACCATTATACTTGGTTATTTATTAGGCAGCACAGTGGAGCAACTGCAGAGCTGCCGCCTCTCAGTGAGCAGGTCCCTGGTTCAAACCCCGGTCCAGGGGCCCTTCTGGGTGGAGTTTGCATGTTCTCTCCGTGCATGCGTGGGTTTTCTCCGGGTACTCCGGTTTCCTCCCACAGACCAAAAACATGCATGTTAGGCTGATTGGTAACTCTAAATTGTCCCTAGGTTTGAGTGAGAGAGTGAATGGTTGTTTGTCTCGTTTGTCTCTGTGTGTCCCTGTGATGGACTGGAGACATGTCCAGGGTGTCCCCCGCCTCTCGCACAGTGATTGCTGGACATGGACTCTGGCGACCCACGTGACCCAAAAAAGGAAGAAGCTGCTAAAAATAATGGATGGATGGTTATTTATTTATTGAGGAAAATTATCCACTATTACATATTTGTGAGTGGTATAAGTATGTGAATCTGGTCCTCTGACATTCAAAAAACAAAACAAAGCAAAAAATAAATAAAAAATGTAGAAACGTTTCGTCTCTCATCCGAGAGACTTCTTCAGTCTGAGGAGCTGTTTTCAGCTCAGTCTCTTAAATAGCACCGTCTCCGAGTGGATCAACCAGTTTTGCTGCTGACAACCAAAACCAGCTGATCACATGCTCAAGAAGGACCATCAGCCTAACAATGGATCATTAGCACACTGATGGCTGTTTACTATTCACAGAGGGCTGAGTGATACTAGCAATCACAGCATTGTAAGAGGGGGACAGTTGAACCCGGAGGCCTCCACCCCTGTTTAATGATGGACGATTTCTTTTCACAAAGATGGCCTCCTTTACTCCTCTCTCAAACCATCGTTCCTCTCTGTCCAGGATGTGAACATCTTCATCCCTGAAAGAGTGACCGCTGGCCTGGAGATGAGTGTAGACCGCAGAGTCCTGGCCTGATGATGTTGATCTTCTGTGCTGGGCCATCCTTTTGGCCAGTGGCTGTTTAGTTTCCCCGATGTAAGACTGATCACAGCCCTCCTGACACTGAACATCATACACAACATTACTCTGTTTGTGCCGGGGGACTGGATCTTTGGGATGAACCAGTCTTTGCCGTAATGTATTTTGGGGTTTAAAAGCCACTGGGACATTATGTTTAGAAAATAAACGTCTCAGTTTCTCTGATACTCCCGGAACATACGGAATGACCACTGGTCTGGGTCTGGGTTCCTCCTTTTCACCTGATGGCTGACTGGAGTCATTGAGGGTAACAATGGTCTTGAATTTCCTCCATTTGTACACAACCTGTCTGACTGTGGATTGGTGGAGTCCAAACTATTTAGAGATTATAATCTTTTCCAGACTGATCAGCATCAACAACTCTTTTTCTGAGGTCCTCAGATATCTCCTTTGTTCATGCCACGATACACTTCCACAAACATGTTGTGAAGAGCAGACTTTCATAGATCCCTGTTCTTCAAACAGGGTGCCCACTCACACCTGATCATCATCCCATTGGTTGAAAACACTGGACTAATTTCACCTTCACATTAACTGCTAATTCTAGAGGTCCACATACTTTTTCCACTCACAAATACGTAATATTGGATCATTTTCCTCAATAAATAAATCCATCCATCCATTATCTTTACCCGCTTCTTCCATTTTTGGGTCACGGGTGTCGCTGGTGCCCATGTCCAGCAATCACTGTGCGAGGGGCGGGGTACACCCTGGACAGGTCTCTAGTCCATCACAGGGCCACATAGAGACAAACGAGACAAACAACCATTCACTCTCTCACTCACACCTAGGGACAATTTAGAGTTACCAATCAGCCTAACATGCATGTTTTTGGTCTGTGGGAGGAAACTGGAGTACCTGGAGAAAACCCACGCATGCACGGAGAGAACATGCAAACTCCACCTAGAAAGGCCCCCGGACCAGGATTTGAACCGGCAACCTTCTCGCTGAGTGGCAGCAGCTATACCAGTTGCACCACCGTGCTGCCCTCAATAAATAAATGACCAAGAATAATATTTTTGTCTTATTTGTTTAACTGTGTTCTCTTTATTTACCTTTAGGACTTGTGTGAAAATGTGATGATGTTTTAGGTCATACTTATGCAGGAATATAGAAAATTATAAAGGCTTCACAAACTTTCAAGCACTGTATTATTAACATAAATAAAAAAAGGATTGATGTTATTTGCTATTTATTTATTTATTTATTTAATAAAGGTAAAACTACAAAAACATATGCTCATAATTGTTAAAATTTTGAGGGAAAAAAACGAGTTTACGGAATATTAGTGGGTTTTGTAAAATAATTTACCGGTATGAATTCAGGAATTTTTGGATCGCCTGTAAAAGGCCAGAGGTTGTCTGTGCCTCCTCGGCTGCCGTACCTTCACAATCTCCTTTTGTTTGCTAATTTTGTTAGCGGCTATCGCTAGGTGGGAAAAAATGGCAGAATATTCAAATGTAAAATCAACTAAATTGGTTTTGAAAGGTTTGAACAAAGGGTAAGTTTTTGTATGTCTTGGTATAATCAAATTAGATTAGTTGCGTTATTATTTGCGGTTATTTATCGGGTTTCTCGTTGATCTAGCTTTGGCTAAAGTGCTAATTCAAACTATAAAAAACACGGAAATTTTAGGGAACAAAAACTTGTGTTTTGGTTCATCAGCCTTTACACCTAAGTTGTTATGGGGTAAATTTAAATAAAAACGTTATATTATGCAATATTATTATCCGACTATTATTCGGTTGTTTTGGGCTTTCTAACGTGTTAGCACTTAGCTCAATATTCGTGCCTTAGTTTCTAACACTTGGACTTCGCATCTTACGATGTCATTAGTAATTGTAGTCAATTACAGTTAATCATATTGAAGAACAATAACGTGTCCAATAAGTTGTAGTTTGAGACGTTTTTTATGAATTTCAAGCGGCAGTAAAACTATTCTGGTGTAGATTGTGACAACTGAAAGTAAGTACTAATAAAGTATTGAGTATCCTGATGCATGCTCAGTATTGAGTATTACAGTAAAACTAGTACGATTAGTAACAGTAAAATTAAAACTAGAAAACGAAAAAATGTCAAGTGTCTCCACAATCTTTCACTGATGTGAACACTTCGACTAAATTTACTCTCATTTACAAATTAGTACATTTTTAATGGGTTTTTTTTTTTACAGTAAAAAGAAGAAACCCAAAGATAAGAAGAGAAAAGAGGAAGGAGACAAACCTGATATCATTGGTATGTACATGTACTATTTTTTCCAAAGTAAAATAATCAGCAAATGAAAGGCATTTTATATTAAACATAACATTTGGTTGGAAACATCAAAGTTTGGTCTGTCTTAAAGTAATTATAAAGATAGCATTAGCCATAACATTTTCTTGACTTTATCTTAGAAATATATTTACCCATGTGACTGAATATTTTTAGTACTGCTTGATGCCATGTTTACGCTTGACTTGTTTTCCTGCTTGTTAGGTGGTTGGTGGTGTGTCAGTGGTTTTGGAGAAATTGCAGGAACAGTTGCCATAGAAATGCAGAACAACTCGTACATCCATGCCCTGGACACTGGGCTCTTCACACTTGGTGCACCCCACAAAGGTAAGACAAAAGACTAGAGTAATACTCAAGTAGTTACAAACAGGTCAGGTTCAGCTCAATCTTGCAGCTTATTAAACCTTTAGGAAAGCACTATTATATGTTTGGTCTTATGTAGCAGTCAACTAACATCTTAAATTATAATAAAAGTCTAAATTAAGGGTAATTATCAAGATTTAAATTATTTATCAGAGTCAGAGATTCTTTATTGTCATTCGCACCACATGTGGTACATGTGGTCGAGCGAAATTATGTACACAGGGTCCCAATTACATCCAACAAAAAAATGTATAAGAAAAACAGTAATAAGATCTAAGATATGAACTAAGAAAAACAACAATTAAAAATACACTAAGCACTAATAGCATAAAAACATTATGTCGAACAGCGGCACGAACATCATTTATGTGCTGTTTGTAAGTAATTAGAGCATAAAGAAAAAACTCTGAGCCCTGGATTGTACTTCGAGAATTTTACATTACCTTTGAGATTATGATGCTAGGATACTGTGTTGTGTAAATGTTATATAATAATAATACGTTATTATAATAACATATGTGTGATTATTACTTAAAAAAAAGTGCTTAAGTGAGGAGAATTGTGCTCCAATCAAGTTACATTAACATGTTCTAAATATTTACTGCAAAATAATTATAAGAACAAAAGAAAAATCTCAGCTGCTGTGGCACAAAAACTGGTGAGGTATTAGTAAGGTATCTGCATTTTCAGTTCTGAGTGTACCTCATCAAAGATACTTGCTTGATATTTTATTGTTTCAGCAGTTTCATAAAGACGGTGAGAAAGATAGGACTTCTTTTCCCCATTCAGACACTGTCGTGTACTTTCATTTATGAAGCAAATCTTATGATTTGTTCCTCTCTGTTCATAATTTTTTATGGTAGTTAAGCAACGGGAACAGAAAACTTGGAAAAAGAAACAAACCGTTGAGCTTTCCATTTCGAAGATGGTAGATGTGGGAGTTAGTGCAATACAGCTTGCACATAAAGTTTGCAACCATTTGCTGACATTTAAGCTTGATGGAGTCATAATGTAAAATTTGGCATTAGCTGGGCTTTGTTTGTGTGAATAAAGGTAGGCTTTGGCTTCAGTCCACTGAGTAAATGTTAGGGTGGGAAATCCAGACACCAGATGAAGAAGGTTGTAAAGAGTTGGGGAGAAGGCCAGAGCTAACTGAGTTTTACTTATTTCTGCCTTTAGGTACTTCACAGGAAGTGGTGCTCATTTTAAGAAATGCTATGGACAGTTAGTTCAACCCAGTTTTCAAGAACCATAGAATATAACTGAGAGATTGAAACATCCAGTTCCCTTAGTGTGCTTTCATACTCTGCATGCACATAAGCCCATTTCTAAGAGATGAAAGAGGCCACAAGCTAGCAGCGTAGAAGAAGTTGGACATTTTCCCTTTAAATGCACGTTTTTTTTTACCCTGACACAACATTGAGGAAGTTAAACTTCTAGATCCGTGGCTCTCACCTTTTCCCCTCAGAGCTTTTCTTCTTGCAGAGATACAAAAAGTGTAGTTGCAAGACTGTTTGTGCTCACCTGCAGGTCAGTGGAGCCCCGAGGACACCAACACAGCGTCACAGTAACAGTCGGACATGTTCTAGAGATGAGTCTTTTGAAAGAACAGTTGGTGTCACAGCAATTATTGTGATGTTCTTTGATTATTTCAGGCCTTACCTGAAACCTTTGTGATGCACAACACATTCTTCCACATTTCAAAACGTGTTGTAATTAAAGGTCATTGACCTCAAATCAAGTCAAACGAGACACAACAGTTCTTTCTTTGTGTTTTTGTGAGACTTGTGCACTGAACTGATCTCATCAGAAGAATTTAAAACTGAAACTTGAAACAAGTCTTAGTTTATTGGAGGATTATGCATGTTCTAAATGTATATTCAAAAAACGTGCTTTTGTTCAGCAACTGTCATCACATTAAAAATAAGGATAAAACTCAGTGTAAGTGATACCAATGAGTTTGAAGTCTTTAAAAAGAAACACTGTTTGATTTATTTCAGATGATGAAGGACCAGACCCCCCAGAACAGTTTTCTGCCATCAAGCTCTCAGACACACGGTGAGCACAAAACGATGAAGCACACTTTGAATTTGCATCTTGCTCCATTTGAATTTTCACCTCAATTCTGCCTTTTCCGTTTCTAAAAATGCACATATTGAATACACTGCAGATTGTGCAAGTTTTCCCACCTACAAAGAATGGAGAGGTCTGTAATTTTTATCGTAGGTACACTTTAACTTGGAGAGACCGACTCTAAGAAGAAAAAAAATCCAGAAAATCAAATTGTTTGATTTTTAAATAGGTCATTTGCATTTTATTGCATGGAATAAGTACCAGTATTTGATCACCTACCAGTCAGCAAGAATTATGGCTCTCACAGACCTGTTAGCTTTTCTTTAAGGAGCCCTCTTATTCTGCACTCATTAGCTGTATTAACTGTGTCTGTTTGCTTGTATAAACGACACCTGTCCACACTCAATTAATCACATTCCAACCTTTCTGCCTTGGCCGAGATCAAAGAGCTGTCTAAGGACACCAGGGACTAAATTGTAGACCTGCTCAAGGCTGGGGTGGGACTACAGGACAATAGGCGAACAGCTTGGTGAGAAGGCAGCAACTGTTGGTGCAATTATTAGTAAATGGAAGAAACACAACAAGATGACTGCCAACTAGGGATGCACATCTCTGTGTCTGGCGATTCGATTTGATTCTGATTTTTGGTGTCACGATTCGATTCAAAATCGATTTTGGATTCAGAAATGATTTTTCTATTGAAATGGTCATAAATTTTGTTTCAATTATGTAACTGACAAGATGAAAGGATTAAACAACAATGTAAACAAATAGAACATTTATTTAAAACAATAAGTAAGTAAGTATAAATACTGTATCAAATCTTTTTGCATCGTTTTATATTTATAACAAAATCAGGAGCAAATATAGGTGTGCAAAACATTCTGTAACTTAAATGACCAATAATAGGTTAGCTTAGCTGCCTGGCTTTTTCTAAAATAAAAATAAAAATCTAGGAACAAATAATTAATCCATCATTCATCATCTTTACCAACTTCATCCTTTTCGGGTCACGGGGGTCACTGGTGCCCATGTCCAGCCATCACTGTGTGAGAGGTGGGGGACACCTGGACAGGTCTCCAGTCCATCACAAACAAATAATTCAAAATATATAAATACAAAAGTAAACAAAGACTTCAGCCTATCATAGTATATTAACCTTTAACTCAAAATAAAATACAGACTTCACAGTTTTTTAACCATATTGCACTAACATTTGTTATATTTTCAAAACTTAATCTAATATGAAATATACAGACTTCACAGTCTTAACCATATTGATTCATATTTGGTAAATCTTTAACAAAATCCCGGGCAACTAAGGAGTGGCTCTGTAAGAACCATTTCAAGGTCCGGGAGAGGCCAGTCTCCAGACCTAAACCCTACAGAAAATCTTTGGAGGGAGCTGAAACTCAATGTTGCCCAGTCACAGCCCCAAAACCTGAAAGATCTGGAGAAGATCTGTCTGGAGGAGTGGGCCAAAATCACTGCTGCAGTGTGTTCACACCTGGTCCAGAACTACAGGAAACACCTGACCTCTGTAACTGCAAACAGGTTTCTGTACCAAATATTAAGTTCTGTTTTTCTATTGTATCAAATACTTATTTCATTCAATAAAATTCAAATAAATTATTTAAACATCATACAATGTGATTTTTTATTTTTTGTCTTCGATTCTGTTTCTCACACAGTTGAATTGTTCCTACGATAAAAAATGACCGACCTCTCCATTCTTTGTAGGTGGGAAAGCTTGCAAAATCTACAGCTTATCAAATACTTGTTTTCCCCACTGTTTGTGCCTTGATGTACAGACATTTAGCTCCTGACAATGTGCTGACTGTTACAGAGCTGTTATTCATGCATTTCTTTCCGAGACAAACATCTGACTGTTGAACCTTGGCTATCACGACGAAAAACATTCTCTTAAAAAATCCGATAAGTCATTTAGCAGGGTTTTTGTTTGTTTGTTTTTGCAGGATAGCTTTAAAATCTGGATATGGAAAGTACTTGGGCATCAACTCTGAGGGTCTGGTGGTGGGGCGTTCTGATGCTATTGGCTCAAGAGAACAATGGGAACCAGTCTTCCAGGATGTTAGTAAACCTTTCAATATTTCTTCTAATGAACTATGTGGAGCACCAGTTTCATAATGTTACGTAGACTTTTATTTCCTCTCTAAATTCACAGGTAAAGAGCCAGCTATGTTCCAAATAGAAATTATATTACACAGAATATTTCTCCATTATAATGTCTTCTTTCATACCTTGACTTAGTGGCAATAATTTACAATCCTATGAAATATCTGTGAAACTTTTTGTTTTTGTTCTGTTTATAAAGTCAATGCAATAAAAACATGAAATGTTTTTTTAAACCCCACTGGAAAAGGGTGTCGAGCAAAATTTACTTCTGAATGCATCTTGATTAAAATGACAATAGGTTTGACTAAATGCCTTCATTATCAGAATGTCTTCCTGCAAATACTAGAGGGACTTATTAGGTTTTTCATTTGCGTTAAGTCATTTAACAACTTCACTATCAAGTCGATAGATTGGTTTAATTTGTTTTGTAAAATTGAAACAAACTTGAGCTTAATTAGATTTTGTTAACTCATTTAACATTTTTTCCTCTAAAACAATACACACATTTTTATTGACACACTATTAAGTATTTGGTCTTTATTTTGAAGGTTTTACAATTTTATCTAAAATGGTTAAAATTCTAGTTAGTTGACACGTGAACAGAATTTAACGCCCGTCGAAGGCGGGACGTATTATGGTAGTCTCTGTTCATCTGTAAACTTTCTCCTGTCTGACCCATAACTTCTGTCAGCTCAAGATAATTTAACAACTTCTGGAGAGGAGGGTCCGTCGGATAGTCGAACCTCGGATTCAGGAGGAGCAGTGCGGTTTCCTCCTGGTCGTGGAACACTGGACCAGCTCTACACTCAGCAGGGTCCTGGAGGGGGCGTGGGAGTTTGCCCAACTTTGTGGACTTGGAGAAGGCGTTCGACCGCGTCCCTCGGGGAACCCTGTGGGGGTACTCTGGGAGTATGGGGTACCGTTTTGGTGGCCTTAGGATTGCATCTCTGCTTTTTGCAGATGATGTGGTCCTGTTGGCTTCATCAGATCGTGATCTACAGCTTTCGCTGGAGCGGTTCGCAGCCGAGTGCAACACGGCTGGGATGAGGATCAGTTCCTCCAAATCCGAGGCCTTGGTCTTGAGCCGGAAAAGGGTAGAGTGCCCTCTCCTGGTCGGAGGTCCTGCCCCAAGTTGAGGAGTTCAAGTATCTTGGGGTCTTGTTCATGAATGAGGGAAAAATGGAGCATGAGATCGATAGGCGGATAGGTGCAGCGTCTGCAGTGAAAAGCGGCCGAAATGAGTTTTCTCCGCAGGGTGTCTGGGCTCTCCCTTAGAGATAGGGTGAGAAGCTCGATCATCCAGGAGGGACTCAGAGTAGAGCCGCTGCTTCTCCACATCGAGAGGAGCCAGTTGAGGTGGCTCGGGCATCTATTTAGGATGCCTCCTGGACGCCTCCCTGGTGAGGTGTCCCGGACACGTCCCACCGGGAGGAGACCCAGAGGAAGACCCAGGACACGCTGGAGGAACTATTTTTCTCGGCTGGCCTGGGAACGCCTTGGGATTTCCCCGGAGGAGCTGACCCAAGTGGCTGGGGAGAGGGAAGTCTGGGCCTCCCTACTTAGGCTGCTACCCCCGCGACCCGACCCCCGGATAAGCGGAAGAAAATGGATGGATGGATTTATAAACTTAATCCTCCAGCTCAAAGGTCATGGTCAAAGTTAAAACTAGATATTTGCTTGTCAGGACCATAACTTCTGATCTGCTCAAGTTAATTTAATGAAACTTAATACACATATGCCTCATCACTAGACGGAGCGACTTGTACACTTTTCATAACCCCTGCTTCAAGGTCAAGGTTACAAATCAATGAAAAATGTTAAACAAGGTCTTTGCTTGACCGTGTCATTGCTATAGATTACTGTTTGCAGACGGATGTATAATGTGCCGTATGCAGTTATCTTGTTTCTTGTTGTTATCAGTGGATACATTTACGAACACAGCTAAACAACACAAATTACAAATATAAACAAAGATACAAGTGTCACAAATTAAAGACTTTAAACATACAGCTGTTGGAAGAAAAAGGTTAAAACTATAATGCAGATAAAATACACTACTGGGAATAAAACAAAGGAAACCTGCAAAAACTTGTATGTTGTCTTTTGTATTCAGAAACACTTAAGGGGACATTTTACAATGACATTTTTTAGCAAGTATGTCGAAGTCATTAGGTAGGACTGGAGGTTCAAAGAGTCTGACAAGTTCCTGGAAACAAAGACAAAACATTTATCGGCACTTGGAGGAAAAAAAATAAATCAGAAATACGTGTGTGAGGGGGTGCATAAATTCTTGTAGTAAACATTAACCAAGACCTTAGTCTGTTGTGCAAAATAAGTTCTGATAACAAATTTTTAAACGTACCGTCATGCCATTCTAGTCTAGCCAGTTTCTGTGATTTTATTTTTTTATTCCCAAGTGCCGATAAATGTTTTGACTTTGTTTCCAAGAACTTCTGTCGCTGTTTAAAGTTCCAGTCCTATCTCATGAATTTGACATTCTTGCTAAAAAAAAAAAAATTGATTGCAAAATGTCCCCTGAAGGTTCTCTAAATAATTTAAAAAACAAAATACAAGTTGGGCTTGGCAGGTTCCCTTTGTTTTATTCATGATGCAATTTTTGACGTGTGTTAAATGTTCATTCATACTGACATGAACCAAAGAGTACACATTACCATTTTCAGCTGCGAGAGGGCCCTCTAGACTTTTGACAACTACCATGTTGTTCCTCTACTGCACCCCCTCCCCCCAAAAAAAAAACCATTCACTTCGAGACAACTGAGAAAAACTTACCACAAGTAAAATGCTCTCAAAAAGAAAAATCCTATTCTGCAGATTACAAACTGCAGGTAATAAAATATTCAGCCCAAAACGATGATCGAGGAGCAGAAAGAAAGTTTGTAAACAGGTGGGGTCCGCGCAGTCTTCCCGGGGGATTCAACCTGGCAGAAGGGACGGCCGGACGGCGGCGGAAGATACCCCCTTCCCCCCCCGTGTGTGGCTGGCTCCTGTTGGATGCATTTCCTTCACAGCTGTGCACCGCAACCAGCTCTGGGTCGGTCTGGAAGGGTCCGGGGAGGAAGGTGACTCGCAGCTTCGGCCATGAGCTCTACAGCGTTCCCCCGCCCGCACCTCGCCGCCTCCCAGGGTCGCGGACCATGTGCCTCGCTGTGCCCTTCCTCCCCGCTTCGGAAGGATGGGGCCCCCTTGCCCCCAGCGTGGCTGCCGTCCAGGACAGACTCTTGTGTGCCGCCCAGGGCAGGGACAGGTCCATGTTTCCCAGCCACATGGGGTCAGCAGCAACACAATAAATGCGACTTATGCTCCGAAGCGACTTATAGTGCGGAAAATACAGTATAAGTATTTGAACACTGCGACTTTGCATGTTCTCCCACGTAGAAATCATGGAGGGGTCTGAAATTTTTATTTTAGGTGCATGTCCACTGTGAGAGACATAATCTTTTTTTAAAAATCCAGAAATCACAATGTATGATTTTTTTTTTTTTTAAATAATTTATTTGTGTGTTGCTGCTGCAAATAAATATTTGAACACCTGTGAAAATCAATGTTAATATTTGGTACAGTAGCCCGTGTTTGTAATTACAGAGGTCAAAGGTTTCCTGTAGTTTTCACCAGGTGTGCACACACTGCAGCAGAGATTTTGGGCCATTCCTCCACACAGATCTTCTCTAGATCAGCCAGGTTTCTGGGCTGTCGCTGAGAAACACGCAGTTTGAGCTCCCTCCAAAGATTTTCTATAGGGTTTAGGTCTGTAGACTGGCTAGGCCACTCCAGAACCTTGATATGCTTCTTATGGAGCCACTCCTTGGTTCTCCTGGCTGTGTGCTTCGGGTCATTGTCATGTTGGAAGACCCAGCCACGACCCATCTTCAATGTTCTAACTGAGGGAAGGAGGTTGTTCCCCAGAATCTCACTACATGGCCCCGGTCATCCTCTCCTTAATACAGTGCAGTCGTCCTGTCCCATGTGCAGAAAAACACCCCCAAAGCATGATGCTTCCACCCCCATGCTTCACAGTAGGGATGGTGTTTTTGGGATGGTACTCATCATTCTTCATCCTCCAAACACGTCCAGTGGAATTAAGACCAAAAAGTTCTATTTTGGTCTCATCTGACCACAGAATTTTCTCCCATGACTCCTCTGGATCATCCAAGTGGTCATGGGCAAACTTAAGACGGGCCTGGACGTGTGCTGATTTAAGCAGGGGAACCTTCCAGGCCATGCATGATTTCAAACTATGACGTCTTAGTTTATTACCCACAGTAACCATGGAAACAGTGGTGCCAGCTCTCTTCAGGTCATGGACCAGCTCCTCCCGTGTAGTTCTGGGCTGATTCCTCACCTTTCTTGGGATCGTTGATACGCCACGAGGTGAGATCTTTCATGGAGCCCCAGTCCGAGGGAGATTGACAGTCATATTTAGCTTCTTCCATTTTCTAATAATTGCTCCAACAGTTGATCTTTTTTCACCAAGCTGCTTGACAATTGCCCCGTAGCTCTTTACAGCCTCGTGGAGGTCTACAATTTTGTCTCTGGTGTCTTTGAACAGCTCTTTGGTCTTAGTCATGTTAGTAGTTGGAGTCTTACTGATTGTGTGGGGTGGACTGGTGTCATTATGCAGCTAACAACCTCAAACAGGCTTCTAATTTAGAATAATCAGTGGAGTGGAGGTGAACTTTTTACTGGTGGACTAACAGGTCTTTGAGGGTCAGAATTGTTGCTGATTGGCAGGTGTTCAAATACTTATTTTCCTCACATATATTTCACAATAGCTTTGTTTAGCACAACAGCTGTGTTTTAGCTATAGATATGAAACTTAACTGAACCCAACTAATGCAGAACCAACACTGTCTTGGTGCTTTGTTAGAAATTGGCAATATAGTCAGATTATTTGTTTTAAAATACCATGAGGTGTACGATGGCTTTCAGAACAACCCACTTGACTACAGCTGTGTTCAACCTGATGCATCTGCTTTTTCCTTTTGGTCTTGTTTTTTGTTTTTAGCGCAAAATGGCTCTCATGGCAGCAAATAGCTGTTTCATCTCATATAGTGACGGGGGGGACATTGTGGCTGAAAGCAAGACAGCAGGGGACGGCGAGATGCTAAAGGTGATTGTTGAGGTTGTTTTTCCTCAAGGTTGCATGCCAGTCCTTTGGTATTAAGCATGACATCTCTGCAGAGGCTTGTCTGGTTAAAATGTGGACGGGATATATTTGCGACCTCACTTAAGGAAGTTCAAGGTGTTCTTTCATGCAGAACTTTCTTTTCTTTTTTCTTCCCCTGAACGTTGAGCAGATCCGAACAAACACAGAACGGGAGGTCAAGCAGAAAGATGATATTGCAGATGAGGACAGAGGCAATGTGAAATCCTGCGAGGTCAATTATGTGTAAGTAGTTTCCACCTTTTATTAACATTCTACTCCATTACTTGAAAATGTTCAATGAAATAAAACCACACAAATCCTCATTGGATCCTTTATTTGCATAGATTGCTATATTGTTAATTAACAGTTCTCTGTGGTAATTAGTTTTTTTCACAGCTGTTTTACAGATTAAGAGTCCTTTGGGTGCATTTAATATTTTTAATAAAGACAATCTTATGTTTGTTGATTTATATGTATTGGAGTTGTTTTTATTATGCAGATTAATACGCAGGCAAAAATGCTAATACTATTTAAACATAAAGCTTTTCAGAAACATGTTTAGTTTAAAATATTGACCTAAAATTTTAAAAAAGGGAGTTCGTTGAGGGATTTGTAGATTTGCAACGTCATTAGAGTACATTAAACTAGGACAAAATATATCCTGATGCATGCTCAATAATCCAGGTAGAAAAATCCAAAAAAGTTAAATCTGGTCCTCTGGACATTCAAAAAAACAAAAAACAAAACAAAGCAAAAAAAAAAAAAAAAATGTAGAAACGTTTCGTCTCTCATCCAAGAGACTTCTGTACCACAGACTGTACCCAGGGGAGGCCACACCTAGTCTGTATGGTTTACCTAAAATCCACAAACAAGGTGTACCTTTAAGATCAATCGTTAGCATGATTAACTCTGTCACTTACAATGTTTCCAAATATCTGGCGTCTGTACTCATCCCTTTAGTTGGCAGCTCAGAACACCACATACAGAACACCATGGACTTTGTGGATAAGGTGAGGGATGTCATCATGGAGACTGATGAAACAATGGTCTCTTTTGATGTCACATCACTCTTTACGTGCGTTCCTGTTGATGATGCAGTAGAGGTGGTCAGTTTAAAATTAAAATCAGACACCACTCTGAGCAGCAGGACCACGCTTTCCACAGAACAACTGTGTCAACTCTTGACACTGTGCCTGCAGTCAACCTACTTCACATATGGGGAGCAATATTATAGGCAGAAACATGGGTGTGCTATGGGGTCTCCAGTTTCTCCTATTGTTGCCAACCTGTACATGGAGGAGGTAGAAAAGAGAGCCTTGACGTCCTTTTCAGGGACACCACCAAGTCATTGGTTCAGGTATGTTGACGACACCTGGGTTAAAATTAAATCTCAGGAAGTCCAACATTTTACTGACCACATCAACTCTGTGGACAAATACATCAAGTTCACACGAGAAGATGTAAAAAATGGCAGGTTGGATTTCTTGGACTGTGAGGTCTCAGTCTCTGATAGAGGACATTTGCAAACCGAGGTGTACCGCAAACGCACCCACACAGACCAGTATTTGCAGTTTGACTCCCATCACCCTTTGGAGCACAAGTTAGGAGTCATCAGGACTCTGTATCACAGAGCAGACAGCGTCCCCACTAGCTCAGGAGCCAGGCAGAAGGAGAAATCCTACACAAGACAGGCTCTAGAGCAATGTGGATATCCTAACTGGGCCTTCCTGAAAGCAGAGAAGAAACCCAAACAGGACTCCAGTCAGCCATCAGGTGAAAAGGAGGAACCCAGACCCAGACCAGTGGTCATTCCATATGTTGAGGAAGTATCAGAGAAACTGAGACGTTTATTTTCTAAACATAACGTCCCAGTGGCTTTTAAACCCCAAAATACGTTACGGCAAAGACTGGTTCATCCCAAAGATGCAGTCCCCCGGCACAAACAGAGCAATGTTGTGTATGCTGTTCAGTGTCAGGAGGGCTGTGATCAGTCTTACATCGAGGAAACTAAACAGCCACTGGCCAAAAGGATGGCCCAGCACAGAAGATCAACATCATCAGGCCAGGACTCTGCGGTCTACACTCATCTCCAGGCCAGCGGTCACTCTTTCAAGGATGAAGATGTTCACATCCTGGACAGAGAGGAACGATGGTTTGAGAGAGGAGTAAAGGAGGCCATCTTTGTGAAAAGAAATCGTCCATCATTAAACAGGGGTGGAGGCCTCCGGGTTCAACTGTCCCCCTCTTACAATGCTGTGATTGCTAGTATCACTCAGCCCTCTGTGAACAGTAAACAGCCATCAGTGTGCTAATGATCCATCGTTAGGCTGATGGTCCTTCTTGAGCATGTGATCAGCTGGTTTTGGTTGTCAGCAGCAAAACTGGTTGATCCACTCTGAAGAAGGTGCTATTTAAGAGACTGAGCTGAAAACAGCAGCTCAGACTGAGGAAGTCTCTTGGATGAGAGACGAAACGTTTCTACATTTTTATTTTTTATTTTTTGCTTTGTTTTGTTTTTTGTTTTTTTGAATGTCCAGAGGACCAGATTTAACTTTTTTAGGTCATTAGAGTACATTAAACTAGGACAAAATATGTTTTTAACCCAGGTTTTTGTAAAGTATTGACTTGTTTTAATTGTTAAAAATCATTTTAATGAAACAAGTAGAAAAGGTTGTTTGGTTGAGGTAATCGCTAAAAGCACAAAAAACATTTTTACATTTCTTAACAAGTTTAGTGCCTCACTATAATCCTAAAATAAATGTGGGGCAGATTACAGGGAAGAAAACACAAGTTTCTTTACCTGTGAAGTTGCTCACACCTTTTTTCCCACTGTTTATTTAACAGCAATTATTCTTTGTACGTGTTCAGCCAGTTTTTGTTTATGCTGTTTTCCTTGAATCATTAAATATGTATAGCAAGTGCAATTTAATTTTAAAAGCTGTAGTGTTGTTGCGTAAATAATAGTGTCCGTCTGTCACTACACTTTGATGTTTTATAGTTGGAGCAAGAACACTTTGGACCTTTTTAAAACTGGTGCTAAAGCTCTTTATGCAAATGGAAAGCAAAAATGGTGATTTCTCTTTTGCATTCTTCTCACATTGCGTCTATTTGAACAAGCAAGAGTTTGACAACCAAATTGCACGCTTGAACGAGATCACGCCTTAGAGCATCTGCCTCATCAATCCCACGCTTCAAAGGTGCAATTGTCGGTCTGCTGTTAGTGTGTGATGAGAGAGCAACACCACATATCAGCTTGTTATGATGCTCTAAGTGCTTTATATACAAGCCTGTCTGTGGCCTATTAAGTTCCACACAATACGTCTTTAACTTTTTTCTTTGACATGCCTCAGATTGTGTTTCCACTCCGTTATTTGTTTTAGATGAATGCTAGGGAAATGGACTCATCAAGCTGACATGTTGATAATGGCTGCCCTTGAGCCTGTGTCTTGATGTAGTGTTTAGCTTCTGAAATGCTTTACAAGATGGAGTGCCGTCTGGGACTCATAAAACACAGGCTGGGCAAAGAAAAACTACACTTGAGAGAAGGTTCTGATAAGCAGGGACTGTTGTATGGCACGGTTTTATATATTTCTGAAATGTCCATTATTAAAATAAGTTGTTAAAAAAAAACATTCAAGTACTTTTAAGTACTGTATATTCTAGTAGAAAGTATTTTGTCAAAGCAAAAAATGCTTCCATTCAGGGTACAGTAGTCCCTCGTTTATCGCGGGGGACCTGTACCCTGGCCCCCACGATAAGTGAAAAACCGCAGAGTAGGGATACAGTAGTTTAAATTCAAGTAAACTTTATTGTTATTACCATCTCATGTAGTACATGAGATGTAACGAAATTATGTACACAAGTAGTAGCAGTATTAAGTAGTATTTTATTTTAGTATTTATATACAGTACGTTATATATGATGGCTTTAGAAACTCTTCCCACACTCTTGCAATATTCTAAGCAATGTTTCTAAACTCTAAACGCTCTAAAAGAGCACCGCATGTCATGATTTCCGCTCTCTGCCTCCGCTGCTCTCAGACACCTGCAAACGCTCTTGGCCACGCCCACTTCACCTCTCTGCACGGAGAACAGCTGATCAGCTGCAGCAGAAAGCTTATTCTGCAGTGTGGGCTGCACAAAGGTGCAGCAGGTGCTAAATCCTTTATAATAATTTATTTTAAATAAAAATTTCATGCCGATTGCGCGGCTCATCCGTCATGTCCAATCTTGTTTTGAAAACCACGATAGAGCGAGTCCGCGAAAGTCAAACCGCGAAGTGGCGAGGGACTACTGTAATAAGGATTAAAAGAACGTGCAAAATTCCTGGTTTTTTAGTGTTTTTCAGTTTTTTCTGCCCTAGTTTAGTATTATTTGTGTTGCAGGAAGAAGTTTCAGAGCTTTCAAGACAGGCGGCTGAGGGTTAATGAAGATGACTCGTCGACTCTGAAGAAAGCAAGGACGGATGGAAAGTTTCACGAAGCCTTGCTTGACAGGTAAGGAAACGAGTACTCTTCAGGATTTGTCTCTTCTAAGATCGATGCTTTTATTTTTAATAAAAATTATACTGATATGAACGTAAATGTTAGGAGTTTACAATATCTTTTTTTATTACAGGAGAAGCAAAATGAAAGCGGACAGATACTGCAAATGAAGCTTTGGTGGACTGCTGCTTCGTCTTGTAAACGTTTTGCTCTTGTAATTGTGGTTATTTGAAATGGACGTTTTACTTTTTTATATATATATTGAATAAACCTTTCATTGGTAAATCAGTACTTTTGTTTTTATGCTTCACAACCACTTTGTACCCATGTTTTGTTTTGAGCTTTTTGAGTTTCAGGTGACCCAGTGGACTTTTCTTTCGTTAATAATTAACCTTGATGCAACATTGCTCAGGAGTAACTGTAAAAACAATGGAGTTATAGGAGTCATGTATGTTTAATTTGCCTCGAGACCAAATCACTATATGACTTATTAATAGCGACCGTTTAACTTCAGGCCATTTTGCAGAGATTTTATAAAGAATTAAGTTGTGCAATAACAGCATGTTAGAACCACCTGCATGAGTCAAATGTGGGGACATGAATAAAGCGTGTTTTACTCAGTATTAGAGCTGTATATGTCTTTGGCTCAATAACCGATTCAACAGTGGCTTTGAAGGATTGTGAAGCCAAAAAAAAAAAAAAAAAATCCCATAAAGTGTTTCAGTTCAAATGCATTTTGGCAAAACGTTAAGTGTGGTTAAAAAAAAAAAAAAAAGGAAAAAGGGTTAAAATTACAGAATGCATTTAAATAAAAGTTTGTTCACAAAGGGAAAGTGTGAAGTCTGCCATCAATCATAAATAAGTTGTTGAATATTGTGCCTTTATAGATTACTCTCAACGAGAAAAAGACAAGTTTGCCCCCTTTCTGTTCACATTAAACCTTTAGTTACAGCTTTTTGCTTATTTTCCTCCTATAATTTTAAAGCATCCATGTGTTTTTCTCAGTAAGCTATTTTTAGCACACCACAAAAAAGATTTCTAATGGATTTCACATCTGGACTTTGTGTTGGTCAGTTCATGTGTGAAAATTATTTTTAATGTCCTTTCAGTGCTTCAACTGAATCCAGACATTGTTTTGCAACATGCGGTATCTTTGCTTTCAGAAATGAATAAAAGTACCATATTTTTCTGACTAAGGCGCATTAAGCGAAACAAAACAGGTAAGTCCAACTTTATTCAGCACATTCACAATAACCACATATTTGAGGTCAGTAAGCACAACCAGAATTAATACATAAGGTGCACCGGATTATAAGGTTCAGTGTGGATTTTTGAGAAAATTAAAAGGATTTTAAGTGTTCCTTATAGTCCGAAAAATACGGTATTTGATATTAAGACTGGATCATTCAGTATATTCTGGTAGTCTGGTAACTGATTTTTAGTCACGTAATGTAAAACTTCGATCTGACCAATTGAGGGAACCCCTTTATCAAACACTGCCCCTACCTATACAGACATGAGGGATGTGACGCTTCAACAAATATTTTGGAAGGTTTCGAGGCACAAAACAGCTCCCCAGCAATGAAGGAAATCCCAATAGCTGACGAGCAGTCCCTGAGCCTCGAAACTGGAGGTCTGCAGGACACTGAAAAAAAAGCAGCAGGACCCGACAACATACCAGGAAGAGTACTCAAGGACCAGCTCGCCCCTGTGCTGAAACATTTTTAACAACTCCCTGAAGCAAGACATCATTACCCCCTGCTTCAAGGCAAGAGGCTTCAACACCACCATCAGGAACTGGTTTCTTGACTTACTCTCTTGACAGCCCACAGTCAGTACGAGTGGGAAGGAACATCTCCGTTACCAGTCTGAGCACGGGTTCCCCCAGGGCTATGTTCTGAGACTGCTTCTCTTTACCCTGATGACCTAAGACTGCGTTGCCAGGTCTGAGACCAACCACATCATCAAATATGTGGACAACACCACAGTCGTGGGCCTGATGAGCAACAAGGATCAGGCATATTGGGAAGAGGTACACCTTGTGAACTGGTGTGGGGAAAATAACCTGGTTCTGAATGTCAACAAAACAAGAGAGCTCATTGATTTCAGGAAAATAAAACCACATCACACGCCATTGCTCATAAACAACACGGAGGTGGAGAGCACCGGGTTCCTGGGGATGCACATAACCAATCAGCTGTCTTGGTCAAGAAACACTGGGTCCCTATTGAAAGCCCAGCAGTGTCTGCACTTCCACCATAGACTGAAGAGAGCACACCTCTGAGTCCCACCCCATGTCCTCACCACATTCTACAGAGGAACCATCGAGAGCATTGTGACCAGCTGCATTGCAGTTTGGGAAGGAAGCTGCAGACTGGAAGGATTTGAGGAGGGTGGTGAGAACGTCAGAGAAGATTTTTTTTTTCATTCATTCAACCTTTATTTAAACAGATAAATCACATTGAGCCTCGAAGACTCATTTACAAGTGGGACCTGTTTGGACAGATAAAAACAGTGGTAAACTGGACACATGTAGGAGTTGGAGGCGAAAAAAATTCCTATCAGACTTTTCTTTCCTGCCTGAGGAAAAAAACCCTCTAATATTAAAAAAACACCTTGCACAAACAAGCATATAGTGATGTAGACAATCTGCAGACGGAGGAGACGAGATCGGTCAGCAATGTTCATAGATGCTCTCGAGGTCACTGTAAAAGTTCTGATAAGGATGGAAAATCGGTCAATGTCCTCCGGTGAGATCCATAAACATTCTCGAGGAATGGCCAAGAATAACGTTTATGAGAATCCAAGAGTCCTGAAATGATGACACAAAGTTTATTCAGCTGGTTCCATCTGGTTATCAGTTGGAAATTCCTCAGGGGGTGGTGAGCGTCAGATCACGTGTACTCCAGGCGAATTCAGACAAGATGACCTTCAAGGCCAGCCAAGGGAGCCAACTTCAGATAAACACAGTTGTTTTTGGGACACGCAGAACTTAATGACATCTACATTTAGTCTGTGTTGGTCGACTCAGTTCCGAAATGTCCAAAATACATGGCCACACCGATGGAACGTGACTGAGTAAAATCCCAAAGATCTGATCCATTCAGCCCAAAGCATTTGAGTCTGGGTACACGAGACACAAACCAAGACATCATAAAGGCATGCAGCGGGATCGGGTCCAAATTTGCTGCCGACGACTTCCTTGATTGTAGATAAAACCAGCCGCCAGCCGAATCCAAAAAGCAGGAACTAGTTATCATAAGATCATTAAGACACCCCAACCATCCATCCAGGACATTGGTCTCAGGCACTGTGACCAGAGCCAATAAAATCAAAAGAGACAACTCTCACCCACAATATGGACTGTTTAGTCTGTTGACCTCTGGCAGGAGGTACCGCAGCCTATGGACCAGAACCACCTGGTTCTGCAACAGTTTCATCCCACAAGCTACTGAACTCGGGTCACAAACGAAGTGACCACAATAACAAACACACACAGACAGACCTAAACACCAAAGTCTATAAAATTTGTTTTAGGCCAGATGACCAGCTTGCTACTCACAGAAACAGCCTGAGGTCAACCAAGGCCAAAGTGGTTCAGAAAAAGGGTTGTAAGCGCAACCATCCAGGTAGACCAGGTGGTTGGTTTCTACCTCGATGACTGAGTTTGCACTAAAACTACAAAAGCTGTTTGATTCCAAAAGTTTGATTTCATTTCATTTTCTATGCGTGGACATGCTCATATTTTCACTAATAAGCATTGCTGTGAGCTTTGTTTCTCATTTGATTTCACCAAACATTCAGCAGTTCCTGGATGACTATAACTAAATAATATTAATACATTTCTTAATGTGTGTTATTAGCCACATACAACCTTTTATTTATTACTGTTTTATTGTCTGCCCATTCAATAAAACATCTCTTGTGTTTTTATTTGTGGGGAAAAGGAGACATAGCGGAGGGTTAATCAGAATTAATGTGTTTATTCTCACATTTGTAAAAAAAAAAATCCCTTAACATAAAGTAGTACATTTGAAGTTTATTTTTGCAAGTATACTTTAAATTAAGTATAAGTATATCAAGTATACTACACACCATACTTGTAGTGTACTAGACGTATACTGATTTAATACTTGTTTGGACTAAATTGGGACACTTTTATAGTATTTTTAAGTATATCAAATAAAGTTTATAAAAAGTAAACTTCAAGTACACTTCCTCATTTTTAGTGTAAAAATAAATATACTTGTAGTACACTTAAATACACTACTTTTTGCTAAGGGATATGTACTTCAAGTTTACAGTTTGAGCTGTAATTATAATTGTATAATTGTAATTCAGTATGAAGACGGTTTTGTTGCCTTTTTCTGTACGGCAGTCTAGCTCTGGTAAGAGTTTGTAGATAAGGCTATATGCACACTGGTGCCATTTGTTTAACAGTCCCTCCATGTTGTGGCCTTGCAGTGTAGATTTAGTTGATATAAAAACCTATGTAAAGATACTTTGAGGTTAAACTGGTTAACACACATGTTTAGACACTATTTAAACAGAAAAATGTGGAGTCACATGATGAAATAAATGATAATATGGCTTTTTGTGGTTTACAGTACACTACTGTACTGACTTTACTAACCGTGCTTCTTGTCTTGAACGTTTTTAAATTTACTGTACTAATGTGCTCCCAAATCCACAAGGAACATACCACTAACCTGACATGGGGGTGGGGGTAAATATATCGTTGTTTAAATGTTATGCCAAAAAATAAAATAAAATTGGAAAGGCTATTTAAAGTAAGTGTTAGTCCAAAATATATATATATAGATTTTTTATAGTTACATTTATTATCTAGTTTAAAGGGAAATCTGCACCCCCCCCCCTTTTGCATGATCGATCAGTCCGGAGTCACGCGGTAAAACAAAAGTAACTTCCGCAATTACGGTGTGATAAAAAACAGAAGCCCAGTAGTCAAAGAGCAGATTTTCAAAATGGGACACTTTAATTTTCTTATTTTAGCCGCTTTTTTCTCCGTCACGTCCACACAGTTTATACCGCCGGTAAGCGACATTTCGGCGCAGCCGTTGTTTATTTTGACACTGTTGACTATTTTATTTTCCTTATTCTGAATCTGTCTTCCTGTAGTTTGGTTCTTTACTAAAGTGTACTTTTTTGCAGTATACAGAAGACTGCCGGACAGACATGTACCCACCAAATGGTCCCACGTAAGTGTCAGAAATATCGTTGAACGATACATGAACAGAATCACTGATTATATGTGGCTTCTATAGATACATAAGATACTGTACAGTACTAGCGAATACTTAAGATCTGTATGCCATTTCTTTTTTTTATACTTTATATATTTTTGCTATTTTTGGGTGTAACTGGTACCGTAAGTACACAATTTCGTTCCACTTAATGTACCACATGTTATGCGAATAAAGAACATTGGTCCTTCGAGCTCTGCTGCCTTCACTGTCTCATGTAAATGTCAGTACTTTGCTTTAGTTCGGGGCAAGTTAGAGAACGGAGTAACATCTTTACACTACACATTATTGTTTGACTTCATCCGTGTGAGTGATCGTTTGCATTTTGATTTAAAAACTACCGAGTCGTTTTCTGTATTTGTCCAAAATATTGCTGTCAGTTTGACCGAGGTGAACGCAAACGCCTCATCAGTTTGTGTAATTTGAAGAAACATATTAGAATGCATCATAAATGTATATTACATTTATTGACATATGTTACAACCCTTGGACTGAGTCTACGAGGCACAGGGTGTAACATAAATTGTAAATGTAAAGCTAATAACTCAACAACAATCCAGGTTAGCATTACAGCAATTTATTCATCTGAGAGTTTTGTGTGTTACAGACAGAAGGGAAGCCATGAACTTCAAGGTCTCCAAGGCCAAAACAACAAACAAAAGAGTTCTGGCTAGAAAACAAAATCACAAATTATCTAATGAAACAAAAACTACAATTCCTAAGCTCTCTGGCTGGTCAAATAAACAGGAGAAACGTTATGCTGATACATGCTCAATAATCCAGGTAGAAAAACAAAAAGTTAAGTCAAGTCCTCTGGATGGGTTAAAAAAAAAAGTAGAAACTTTTCGTCTTTCATCCTAAAGACTTCCTCAGTCTGATGTGCTGTATTCAGCTCAGTCTTATAAATAGCACCTTCTCAGAGTGGATCAACCAGTTTTGCTGCTGACAACCAAAACCAGCTGATCACATGCTCAAGAAGGACCATCAGCCTAACGATGGGTCATTAGCACACTGATGGCTGTTTACTGTTCACAGAGGGCTGAGTGATACTAGCAATCACAGCATTGTAAGAGGGGGACAGTTGAACCCGGAGGCCTCCACCCCTGTTTAATGATGGATGGTTTCATTTCACAAAGATGGCCTCCTTTACTTCTCTCTCAAACCATCGTTCCTCTCTGTCCAGGATGTGAACATCTTCATCCCTGAAAGAGTGACCGCTGGCCTGGAGATGAGTGTAGACCGCAGAGTCCTGGCCTGATGATGTTGATCTTCTGTGCTGGGCCATCCTTTTGGCCGGTGGCTGTTTAGTTTCCCCGATGTATGACTGATCACCCTCCTGACACTGAACAGCATACACAATATTACTCTGTTTGTGCCGGGGGACTGGATGAACCAGTCTTTGCCGTAATGTATTTTGGGGTTTAAAAGCCACTGGGACGTTGTGTTTAGAAAATATGGGCTTGTTTTGAGCGTGAAGTTGCTTATTTGGGCTTGACTTTCTTTCCGAGTGAAACTAGTTGATTATCTCCCAGCTCCGCACAATAAAGCAAAAGACGAGTGGTAGTAGGTAGTTTGTCCCTTCCACATCCCCCTTTTCCTGTATCGCTCCCGCCCAAGTTAACGAGGCGACAGGCACATACCCAAACAAACATTCATACTGTTGCCGACCACTAGGGGGTTTCACTCACACGAAGATATCAGGATGTTTTATTTTTAAAAAATATGTACCATATTTTCCGGCGGACACGTCACACCACCCTATAAGTTGCATTGGTCCATATTTGTCTAATAAAGTGGAAAAAATCCATAAATATGTTGCTTCGCCGTGTACGTCAAATCTATTATGTGTCACCGCTGACAACCCGGAAATGTGGGCCGATGTGCCAAAAATGGATTGGCTGCCAAATGGCGGCCGCGGGAGCGTGCACGAGAGGACTTTATCAAGAATTTAACAAGATTAACACTTAAACAATTATTTGTTTGTTTGAAATTATAGTTAAGGTGTGTCTCAGTCTAACATTTGCTTAATAAATGCACTTTAATGGTAAAATCAGCTGCATTTCAAAAATAGTTTTGTTGCTGAGGTGCTCCCGGGAGCGAGCAGACAGGGAGGAAAATGGGAGGAACGGGGTTAGTTTCTCCGAAAATTAACAAGAAAAGCACCTAAACAATTATTTGTTTGCTCAAAATTATAGCAAAGATGTATCTCAGTCTAACGTTTGCTTAATAAATGCACTTTTTAATGGTCAAATTAGCTGCATTTCGCCGGGGCGGTACAGCTTAATTGACGGTTCCAAGCAGTGAGCAGAATGATGGTGGTAGCCTATGGCAGGCCGATTAAGTCATTAAAAGCTGGTGAAGACTCTCAATCTTACAGGACATGGTAAATTAAAAAAAAGTTCAAGAAAAAAATCATAAAATAAAGTATAATAAAGTCTAGTTGTTTTTGTCTTGAACTTTTTTGAATTTGTCATTATAGCCATGTTTATCTATTACATTGTACAACAGCATGCCATACTGCTATTTCTACTCTGCTGCCATCTAGTGGCTTTTTTTTTCAGTCAGAATGAATGAAAACGGTCATATCTCAGCCAAAAATAGTTTATAAATGTGGGGGAAAAAAATCCATAAACATGTTGCTTCAGCTATAAGTCGCAGGGCATGTAAATTATGCAAAAAACTGAGACTTATAGGCCGAAAAATACGGTACACATATTTCATCACCCAAGTACCCTATCTGTACCCTACCCACCCTATCTGACACTTTTCACCTCTACTACATTCTTTGCCACCTCCTTCAGGACCACCTCCATTTCTCTTTCTATCCACACCATGGTAAAACAGTTTAAACCCTGCTCCAATGCTGCGAGCCTTGCTGCCCTTCCACGTGGTCTCTTGGGACACACAAAACATTTACCTTCCTTCTCGGCATCATGTCAGCCAGCTCTTTACCTTTGCCTGTCATTGTCCCCACATTTAGATCCTCAGTCCTACATTCTTGAGTTTCCTTTGCTCTTGTCTCCTGACACGTTTCCCTCCTCGTGGTCTTCGACTAACAGTAGCACAATTTCCGCCGGCACCCTGTTTGTCAACAGCACCAGTGGCGGTCGTCGTTAACCCGGACCTTGACCGATCCGGTATAGTATCACTGAAATGAACTCGCGTTTGAGTTTTGGCAAAAAGTGTTTTGCATCGGATGCCCTTCCTGACACAACCCTCATCATTTACCCAGACTTGGGACATTAGCTTGTGCTCCCTAGCGGCTGGCTTTTTTTTTAAACGAATGTCCTAAAATGTCAAGTCCATTCAAAATATGTTTGCAAAGGGTGTCGTTTTTAAGTGCACGTTGTTTTCATCTATTTTGTTGTTGTTGCATTTTTATATTAAATCAGTCTAATTAGTCAGTCAGCCGCTGCATTACAGTGATTTAAATAAAAAAAAACAGAATATTTTCAGCTTGGTGAATACACACGACTAATTACTCACCTGAATAAAAATGTTATTTCTTTATCAAAACACAATTTGCCGCTCAGCTTAAACGAGTCGCGTTAATGCTTTAAAGCTCAAAAACAAGGTAATATCAGTGTACAGCTGTGGATGAGTTATTAACCACAGCAACATCAGCATTATTTTATCATTTGATCTTTCAAACCAGGTTCAAAGGAGACGTCAGCTGGTACACTGTGGACCTCGACTTACCACCCAAAGAGAGATGGGCGGCTGTGATCTCCGACAAAAAAAACTATGTAGGTGGATTGCAAAGTGCCTCAAGATCATAAGTTCTAGGCCTGGCATTAATGTCACTCACGGTTCTCTTGTTTTCAGCTGGTCTCGATGATTCAAGCCATCAGAGACTTGGCAGATGCTTTTGTGCCCAGTGGACGACTGGTAGAGATGGTTGACCTTATACTGGTGAGTGTCATTTTCTTCTCAGCGAGTGTTTTGCTGCTGCTGTGATGAAAGATTGGATGATTGCAGAGTTCACTGTCCCTTACAGCCTTTAATGGTAAACACGCTCCCAAATCCATTTCGTGATGAGATCAAAGGAATTGCTGAAGTTTCAGGAGTTCCTCTTGGTAAAAACTAAATAATGCATTATTTAGCATATAGATTTAAAAGTCCACACAACTAACCTTTGTCCTTTTTTTAAATTCTAACAATTTAGGTGAAGTAGTCTTGTTTAACATCTTCTATGAGGTGTTCACTGTGTGCACATCAGTTGTTGCAGAGGATGAGAAAGGTGAGTCCATGATGCAGATTTGCTTAAAAACAATAAAACAACTGTGCAAATAGTGAAATGTTTTGGCGCTCGTCATCAACAGGAAACCTCCTCCATGGAAGAAATTTAGATTTTGGACTATTTATGGGGTAAGAGCCTCGGCGCTTTTATTGTTTTACATTTTGACGTGGAGTCTTGGTTCATGTAAGGACTTGTTCCTCATTGCAGCTGGGATGAGAAGAACAAGTCATGGACCATCAGTGAGAAGCTGAAGCCCCTCGTGGTCAACCTGGATTTCAAAAGAAACCAGCAGACGGTTTTTAAGTCGACAAACTTTGCCGGCTATGTCGGCATGCTCACGGGCATCAAACCTGTAAGTGATTTCATCTTAACTCAAGGGTTGTGCACTTTTTCATGTAAAAAGAATAAACTAAACATTTTTTTCACCTCTGCCAGCATATATTCACTTTAACGATGAACGAGCGCTTCAGCGTCGACGGAGGATACATTGGTGAGTTTACAGTTTTTCTCAGCTTTCACACCTAAGAACTAGCTGTAGTCTTGATTGCTTTGTTGTTGTTTTTGTTGATGTGCAGGAATCATGGAGTGGGTCATGGGACAAAGAGATGGGATGTGGATGAGCTTTCTCACTCGATCTGTTCTAGAAAATGCAAATAGGTACTATTTTAACATTTAAACATCGTGTAGGCCTGTCACAATAACAAATTTTGCCGGGTGATTGTCTCAGACATTATCGTGATAAACGATAATATTGTTTGAAATTTCACAATTAGTAATTATTGTCAAATTTAAGAGGAAATGTTTAATTTGTGTTGAGTGTAGTACCTTTTTCCAACCACCGGATTGCAGTATAAGACTGTTTGAACCGAAGGATGGATAGTGAGGGAACGCGCAGCATCTCTATAAGAAAAATGGGAGGGAGGCCCCTTGACGTGACATGGGCTGTCTCTTCAGTTCTCAAAATGGCGGACGTTTGGTGTGATTTGAGCTCTTTAGCATTTTTCACACAAAGCTTTTATTTAAAAAAAAAAATCAATAAACAAGTTCTCAGCTTCTTTTTGCAGAGAAAAATGTTGTACACAAAGGCACGGGTTTCAACCGTGAATTTTAGGGCTTCAACAAGGCCGAGGTTTTTTTTTTTTTTTACCTCGAGGTCGGCCTGTTAGCTTAGCTCGTAGCTTAGCTTCTCAGCTTAGTAGTAGAAAGAGACACGATGAAGCGATAAATGAAAACCAGTGCAATCAGTTTTTGTCATTTTGCACAAGTTCTTAAAAAAGAAAAAAAACAACTAAATGAGATCATGCCTAAAACAGAATCTAGGTGTTAAATAATGACACCAAAATAAAACAATAAAAGCACAATTTCCTATAGGTAAAGATTGGTAACAAAAAAAAGGTCAAAATTAAAACATTGAGTGTGAAGCACGACTTGAAATTTAAAGCTGAATATTTATAAAACTGAATGCTAATAATGAGTTTGATATTGTTTCCTATTAGCTATGAAGAAGCCAAAAAGACACTGGCTCAGACCAAGATGCTCGCTCCAGCTTACTTCATCCTCGGAGGTAACCAAACGGGGCAGGGCTGCATCATCACCAGGTCCAGGCTGCTCAGCATTGATGTCTTGGAGTGGGTACCAAACAGCTTTGAAGCTTTCCACTTGTTGGCACTTTTGGATGATGTTTGTTTATATATATATATATATATATATATATATATATATATATATATATATCATTAATATCACAGCACTTTGGTTGGCCTTGTTGCTGTCTTAAGTGCTTTATAAATAAAGTGGTATAAAGTGATATAGTATATAGAATTGTAACGTTGACAGAAGTCGATCACAAATCTTTATCTTGTGAAACTCTTGCCTAACTGTTGACATAGTTGGTTTCAGGTCAGCTGATTTAAATTGTACAATCCTGTTGCTCTGACGTGGCATGTCACATTTTGAGGTTTTACCCAACTTCCTTTACTCAGGATTGATGTGAAACTGGGCCGCTGGTACGTCTTGGAGACAAACTACGACCACTGGGAGGATCCTTTTTTCCTGGACGATCGGAGGACTCCTGCCATGACGTGTATGAACCGGACCACGCAGGCGGTGAGTGCTGACGCCGTTTCAGAACTGAACTCGATTTCACTCAGAGTAAACTCGTTCGGAGATATTTGAACTAGTTTAATGTGCAAGTGTGCCTGAAATTCCTGTTTAATAAAAGGTTATGACACCCTTTTTCCTGCAGAACATCTCTGTGAGAACACTGTACGACATGCTCTCAACCAAACCAGTGTTAAACAAGGTGAGGCGTTTTATGATGGTTTAAATCAACAACAGTCTGGTTTCTTATGTGCTGAGATCTTTATTTATTTATTTTACAGCTGACCACATACACAACTCTGATGAAAGTGTCGGAGGGAAAACTGGAGTCGTACATCCGGGACTGTCCAGATCCGTGCATGCCTTGGTGATCCTACGAACAGACTCCTGATCAGTTTGCAGAATGCCTGAAGGTTGATTCATCTCGGTACAAAGTGTCAAGCTTTTAAGTTTCCACAGTAACTACTGACCTGAGCACTTTTGTAACGCTGCTGTCATTTCTCACATTTAAAGATACAGCTCAAATCTTTTCTGTGGAAAAGTTTTAAACGGTACCTTACCTGTTGAAGGACCTCAGTTTGAAGGAATGGTTCAATTCTGACCAGATTGACGAGCTAATAGGTAGGCCAAGAGAGGACATTTAAATCTTCAGTTTGTGTTCTTTTACAAGCCTTTACATCGTAAATTTCACATTAGTTATTTATCTAGAATTCATTGGTTATTTGCAAGCATAAACGGTGTCAGTAGCAGCTAGCTGTAGCACCTTTAGCAGGAATATAATAAAATGTCTTCAGTATACAGTAGTCCCTCATTTATCATGGGGGTTCTGTACCCTCCCCCCCCCCCCGCCCCCCCCCCCCCACCAGCGAAAAACCGCCAAGTATGGATACAGTAGTCCAAGTTAAAGTTCAGTAAACTTTGTCTTAACGTGCCAGTCTGAAATCACAATCACTGTTACTCCCAATCTCCCAAATATACTATTTAAATTTCAATACTGTAACATTTTAAAATGTTACAGTATTTAAATTTAAATAGTAGAGAAGAGCAGCAGAACATCAAATGGATGTCACACATCTCTGCAGCACGGAGCAGAAATGTACTTTTTTATCAATTACACTGAAACAACTGAACATAGAAGTTCTAAAATAATTAAAAATAACTTTTAACACTTTTGTATTTTGTGATTATGATGATTTTACGATGTGACATACTTTGAATTTTAAGTCGTAAGACAAAAGTCGATTGGTGTATCTGGACAGCAAAGGGTTAACCCTTCACAAAACTGCAGCACGAGAAATGTGAGTGGCAGAGAAGATCAGCTGATCAGCTGCAGGAGGGAGCTTCCCATGCACTCGTGGGCTGCACACATGGTGCAAAAACATTTAAAATAATTGATTTTAATTAAACAATCCGTGGCTCATCCATCAATTGTGTCATGTCCAATCTTACTTTGACGAACTGCGATTTAGAGAATATGCGAAAAATTAACCACGAAGTAGCGAGGGACTACTGTAATTGTAATGTGCACTTTATGTCAGAGTTGTTTTACAAAATGGTTTTTGTGTGATGTGCAGAATAATTCAACGCTTTAAATTTTTTATAGCAATCTACTTAGGTGGTGGCAGACTACATTTTACTGTCAGCTGGTCAGATTCAAAACATTTATCCAAAATTAAGATTTTCATAACACTATCTACAACAGGTAAGATATTTAACATTTCCACAGAACCATCAGGCTGAAGTGTATTCAAGGACATTTTTGGGTTATGAGGGTATTTTGAACCAAAACCTGTAAATACTTCTGTTCTTTCAACTGTAACTTTACTTGTATAATGTGAACATTTAGTGGTGATCCTTGGAGATGATTCAGTAAATGTTAATTATTGCTCAGTTATCAAATCTCTGCAAATGTAGCATTTTGTTACAGGCTATGTTTAAATACTTCCTCTGATACTGACAAATGTGCCTCAATGCTAATCACTCTCACTTATTAAATTATAACTTTTTTCACAAGTTTCACGTGTTTACCTGTGGTTTTGATTCATATCTGACTTTTATAAGGCTGTGATTGATTTATTAATAATTGTTTAGTCACAATATCTTAAATTATTTGTTTTTTATTATAAGACAAGAAAAAGTGAATACAATTCAAAAGTGAGACTAAGGAGAATTAAAAAAAAAAAAAAGAATAAAACAAAATAAATTCATCCGAATTTTAGAAGCAGCTAAGAACAGTCCTAGATTATTCTCTTCACATTTTACATATTTCCTGAAACAGCAGCTCTTCTGTCCTCCTGACTACACATTCAGCTTCCTGCAGTCTCTTTATAATTGTAAATTAAATGCAGAAAACATGAACAACTGGTAAGGCCAGGCAAAAACAAACATTTAAAGGGGAAAAAAAAGCTGAACTAATCCTCAACTAAGACGAAGGCAGATTAAAACAAGGATATATTTCAAACAAAGGCTTATCTGTTGATCAGCAGCAGGAAATACATTAAACTATAATGAATAACAATGAACTTTAAATGTTGACAACCGTCTGACTGCCACAGCTAATCTGTGACCACTGCGTAACTTCGCTACTATAGTCGACAACAGGAACCAATTATAAACCTAAAACCAACTGAGGGAGGAAAATATTGCTAAAGACAGTAATAGTTTGAGACATTTCTGCATCTTTTTTTTTTACATGTTCTCAGCGCTGTTGGTTTCTGAAAAAGAACAAACATTAACTGTTGGAGGATGTTTGACAGCTGTGATTTGAGCTGTAACGTGTAATCAACGGGAATCAAAAGAAAAGGTTGTCCTTCGTACCTGGCTCCTTCAGTGTCTGAGCATTTCCCACCAGCCCCGTCACCATTTCAGTGTTCCCATTAAGGATCTCCACAGAGAGGTTATTATTCTGTTGCTCCTCCACTATTCTCTTCTGGAGCTCTTCCTAATGTAAAACACATCACAGCTTTTTTTCTTCTTTTGTTCCTGCAACTTCAAGTCTCAAACTTCTCCATTAAAATCAATGTTTGCAGCAGATGAAGAGGAGTTTTTCCCCCTTACCTCACACATGACTGTAAGCTGCAGCGGCAAGTCTTCCACTTTGACAAAGTCGTCTTCATCTGACCTTTGGCTCGTGTTACCTGATCCCATCTCCTTAATAAATAAAATCACAACTGTGATATTAAGATTTGATCTAAATTACACATAAAAGAATAAGCACAAACAATGACACAATGAAACTCCTATCAGCACTTACATCCACATTGACAAGGACAGGTGAGTCCGTGTTAGGACTACTAGTGGGCGTTGAGTCTTTGGGGACATCTTGACCTGGGAAGACAGCAGAGCCCCCCTCTGAGGGAGCAGCAGCCCCGACTTTACTCTCATCCTCGATATTTTGGTTCTCCACATCTGTATGTTCCTTCACTGTGGCGTCTACGTTCTGAGCTGACATGTTGATTTCTGCCAAAGAAAAATTACCACCTTTAAAAAAAAAAAAACTAAAGACAAATACTCCTAAAATTATGATGGAGCTTTAGGGCCACACTGCGGAAAAAAATTAATGAAATTACGTTATAAACAAGAATAAAGTCATAGTATTACGAGTATAAAGTCAAAATAATATGAAAATAAAGTCAAAATAATACGAGAATAAAGTTGAAATAGTACGAGAATAAAGTTGAAATAATACAAGAATAAAGTCAAAATAATACGAGAATAAAGTCAAAATAATACGAGAATAAAGTCAAAATAATACGAGAATAAAGTCAAAATAATACGAGAATAAAGTCGAAATAGTATGAGAATAAAGTCATAGTATTACGAGAATAAAGTCAAAATAATACGAGAATAAAGTCGAAATAATACGAGAATAAAGTTGAAATAATACGAGAATAAAGTCGAAATAATACGAGAATAAAGTCGAAATAATACAAGAATAAAGTCAAAATAATATGAGAATAAAGTCAAAATAATATGAGAATAAAGTCGAAATAATAAGAGAATAAAGTCAAAATAGTATGAGAATAAACTTGTAACATTACCAAAATAAAGTTGTAATATTACCAGAATAAAGTTGTAATATGACAAAAATAAAGTTGAAACAATATGAGAATAGTCATAATATTACGAGAAAAAACATGTAATATTACCAGAATAAAGTCATAATATTACGAGAATAAAACAGAAACAATACAAGAATAAAGTCATAATATGAGAATAAACTCGTAATATTACCAGAATAAAGTCGTAATATTATCAGAACTCCAACTTGAACAAGCAGTCTTACAACTGCAGTAAAATGATGAATGTTGACGTCAGCAGTACAATAGCGGGGAGCCAGTGCACTGTGACATATGAATTCTTATGATAAACTGAAGCCGTATGGCATTACAATTAATGGCTGCATTGACGGATTTAGTCGTGACATAATGTGGATGGAGGCATAGTTCACAAACAGTGACCCAAAAGTGATTGCGGACTACTTCATAAACACAGGGACTCACACTGGAGACTGTCACAGCAGGTGCGAGCCGACCCAGGACGTATTACGACTTTATTCTCTTAATATTATGACTTTATTCTCATAATATTACAACATTATTCTCATATTTATTATTATAATCTTTATTATTCTTGTAATTTTATGACTTTTTTCTCGTAATGTAATTTTTTTTTCTTAGTGTGGCCCTAATACTCCGTTGTATAAAATGATTCCATCAAACAGAATTTAACTCGTTAGTTGGTTGTCATTGCTTGCACTTGGGACTCACCATTATTCTCTGAAGAGTTCTGTTCAGGCTTTATCTCCTGAACTTCACCGCTGGTTGTGTCCTGGAACAATTGAGACATATTTCAAGAGGTCAAACAAGACCAGATATGGCAGTTACATTAATAAAAAATAATAAAAATTCATTAAGGCTGACCGTGGTGCTGAGCTCCTGCTCTACTTGTCCATCTGCAGACACTTGCAAGGACGTTTGGACATCTACAGGTCCGGCTTCAAACTCTTCGATTTCCTCGTCCTCGTTCTCATCCTCCCCACTGCCATAGTTAGTCAGAGCCTGAGTCTCGGCTTTGGACAGATCTGATGAGCAACAAAATCAATAATTTAGGGAGTTTGTTGTGATTTCATATAAATGATCAAAAAGTAGACACAGTCAGTTTGTGATATGTAAATATATTCAGCTCTGTTTCCGAGTGAGCGATCAAAAGGAAGCAAGTTTGCAGCTTCCACTGTACGAAACACTTTTTCCTCTAAAGCAGCGTATAGATGGATCTGATCTCATTAGAGACTTGGAGTTCGAGCAAATCTTCTGGCAGCAATTGTTCCTGATAAATATGGCTGCGCCTCAAGTTTAACAGCAGATTATTTTCCAAGTAGCGCTGCGACAACCAAACTGGCATCAGATCTAAGAGGAAGTCTGTGTTGAGTTATGGCTTTTAGCAAATTAAGAGGTTTTAGGAAGTAGTCAGCCCATTTCATTTTATTTAATTATTTTTTGTTAAAGATTCACGTACTGATAGATAAATGCACTTCCTGTCTATGCCCTCCATCCTCCTCTTCAGCATCACTGCTCTTGTTGCTCTTCAGCTCTGCTTCCAGATAAAGCTTCTGGAAGGTAAAGTTTCCTTCCTTCTCTGCTTCGTCTTGGTCCTAGATGAACGGATGAGAGAAACATTATTAAAGCACATAAACATTTATTTTAAGAGCAATAAATGATTTTCTTATCGGGACAAAAGTGACTCACCTTATCTTCATCAGCATAAGCTGAAGAAACTGACACATAAGTAACATCTATATTCTCCTAAATGATGGAATGAATTAACATAAAAATCACATTAGACAAATTCACATCTCACAGTCCCAATAGAAATTAAAGGCAATTTAGAAAATGAACTTACATTAAGAACTTCTTTTGCTTTACTGGGTTTTTCGTTCAGTTTCTTATTTTTGTGTTTCGCAGCCAGTGTGCTGCTGCTGTCCAAATCCTGCATGAGCTTAAAGAAGGCCAGCTCATTAAAGAGGATCTCTGAAATCTCCACCAACAGGTCCTCCCCACAATCCTTCAAAGTACGACCCACAAATTTACTGAGCGATTCCTAGATAAAAAAAAAAAAAAAAAAATTGAAATAGCAGAAAGGCCTTATTGCAATCACCTCCACTGAACAACCTGCCACCTACCTGCAGAATACCTCCCAGCTGTTTGTGGAAAAAGTGGACAAACTCTTTGCTTTCATCATTTTGCTGAGTCAGAGTAAGCACCATGCGCCGCACAGATGTCAACAGCTGGGGTGAACACACCTCGTTCATGTTCTCCTGGTAAAATCAAAACGATTTTTGTGAAATGCTAAAAAGAAGTTGATCTACTTTTGGTACCATTTTACAATAAGGTTCCCCTTATAGATGCTAATAAATAGTTTATAAATACATTATTAATTCCCCTATAAACACTTTATAAATCATTAATAACTGCTTATTATGCATTAATTAAGGGTGACAGAAACAAAACTGGCCAGTTTCTTGCCAAACAGTGAGCCACATCTGTTCACCTATTTCATCTAAGGTTGTTATATTAAACATTTCAGACTAAGTTACTACCTTGTAAACACAATAAGTATTTGTAAACCTAGATCTTTAGCATATAATATTGTACTTTCTAAGTATCTACAACTAATATTATATCCTAAAAAAACAGGTTTCCAAATGCTTATTGTGCACAAGGTAGTAACTTAGTCTGAAATGTTTAATATAACAACTCTAGATGAAATATATAGGTGAACAGATATGACTCACTATTTGGCAACAAACTGGTCAGTTTTGTCTCTATCACCTTTAATTAATGCATAATAAGCAGTTATTAATGATTTATAGCGTGTTTATAGAGGAATCAATAACGTATCTATAAACTATTTATTAGCATCTATAAGTGGAGCCTTATTGTAAAGTGGTAACCTACTCTTTTTTTTTTAAATGTGTGCTTAAAAAATATATCCTGCACTGACCACCAATAAAGTGGATTCCTTTTTGAACACGGTGGATTAAACTTAGTAACTCTCGATATTAAAAAGTTCCGGTCTCTCCTTTTAGTTTTCCTACCTTCAGAAAAGGAATGACTTCTGTCATGATGGCTTTGATCTGACGATCCAGCTGTTGGGTGTCAATCTGAGGGCAGTGCACATCTCCAGCTGCAGCTCCTTCTAACACAAAAAATGTCATTTTGTACAAAAATTTAAACAATAAAAACACAAGAAAGGTCACAACTAAGCTGCTAAAGGGCTTTGCACATGTACATGAGCATCATGTATACGTGCATCATGTACCTTCCTCTGGTTCAGCGGGGTTAGCAGAAGCGCGTTCAGCATTTGAGACTTCAGAACTGTTCAAACCTGCAGCACTGGTGTTGCAGTGGTTAAAGTCAGCTTTAAGCTTCATGCGCTCATACTCTCTAATCCTTGCCAGAGCTTTGTCTAAATGAATCACCGTGTTGCCTGTCAGATCACCACAGAAGAAGAGGATACGGAAAGTTCAATCAATGAAACAAGCAAGCAATACAATGGATATTAACACACCCAGGTTTACGTTATAAGATCTCGCAAAGTAAACCAGTCTCATTCTTAAACTGCAGAGCGGTCCACCCACAAAAAATGATGGTAATATGTTTGCAGTATTAATCTGAATGCTGGTTGATTTGTCAGGAAAAGCCGTGAAAAGCCCCACTGAGAAAGTATCAAACGCTCTCTTCAAGCTCAACGCAGTAAGCAAAGTACTTTAACGGCACATCTGTAGATACAGAGAGCACTGGTTGCAATGATCAAACATTTAACACTCTACCCAGATCATCGTTGGCAAATGGTTCCAGGTTGGAAGAGGTTGACATGTTGCTGTCATTATCCACCGATTCTGCATCATCCTTCCTCTTTAAGTCCTGCACATGCCTCAAGTTCTTCTCCACCACCTCCTGAAAAACACACGAATGCTGGTTTGGAGGTTCGCACACACTCAACATGGTTTTAATGTCAGACCTGGTAGTTTATAGATGATTCAACACACAGTAATAGTGGTTTGGTTTCCAAATGTTCAAATGTGGAAAACGACATCTTACTCTTGAACAAAGTATTTTCACAGACAAAGACCTGGCTCCCAATTAGTCCAACTCTAGGGACCTTGGAGCAGAACAAAGAACACGTGTCTAATCTAGCAACAGAGACATGAAGAGACAAGGGTCGTTTGTTTTTATAGACGGGCTTCTGTGGCTTCGCTGCCAAGTTAAATTCAAAGACAATGGAGGAGGAGGAGGGAAAATTAAAAAGCTGAAAATAAAGAAACATGGGAGACGAGGAAATGGAGTGAGATGAAAGAAGGGACGCTTAAGAGAAAAGCTAATGAAAGGTGTATTTAGATGTAGAAAACAAAGGACATAAAAAACAAGGGAGGTGGATGACTGTGGGGACTGAAATATCAGAACAGACTTCATTATGGAAATGAAGGGGACGTACAAAACAAGACAGGGGTGTGTGTGTGTGGGGGGGGAATATCAAAATCCCACACTGGTGGAAAACTGACTTCATCGCTGGTGAAAAGGCTCTGGCTGGGTGTCAGTTCTGACTGAGAGCCTGTTGTCCACACAGCAGGGCCAAGAGGGGGCAACTGGTCCTCTGCTGCGCTTCTCACTGCCAGCTGCTTAGTCACCAAGTCCTGTGAGGAATGCATTTGAGCGTCAAAAACGTTGTTTTCACTGAATAAATAAGTGGGAATTTGAAATCAAGCTGTAACTTTCAAATGAGGGCAAAGAAAAAGGCAAAGAGCAAATATTGTGCACGTGATGGGAAACTGAACAGCCTTATTGCATGTGGAAAGAAGCTGTTGCACATTCTGGTCATGCCTGATTCAGTGAAGTAATATCTTCATCCAGACGGTAAGAGCTTAACCAGCGGGGTGAGACGGAGCTCACAATACAAAACTAACACACCATAACTATCAGCTGATCTTTTCAATTGAGTCTTCTATCTTCATCTCAGCTCATTATTCACTTATTAAGGTTTACATTCAAGCATTAAATCTCACACTAATTTACTCCACAAATGCACACGTATTAGAGCTGTCTACTCAAAAATAAAACAGTTATCCTCAATAAAACAGTCAGCCTACCGTATTTTCCAGCACATAAGTCGCAGTTCTTTTGCATAGATTTGTCAGTTCTGCGATTTATACGCAGAAGCGACTTGTGTACGTTTTTTTTCTTCTATATTCTGACGCTTTAAATAAAAAAAAAACTGCAACTGCGAGTCCTCCCGTGCGCGCTCACTTCACTCAGTTGGTGCAGATGGAGGAACGCTGGAGAGCTAGCAGCTCCAGCCACGATGGATGGATGGACGGATGGATGGCGCTGTGATGCCCAGGCGAAATGCAGCTGTTTTGACCATTAAAGTGCATTTGTTAAGGAAAAGTTAAACCGACGCACTGTCAAGTAAACAAATAATTGTTTTTAGGTGTTAATCTTGTTCATTTGAAAAAAACTGCAACAGCGAGTCCTCCCGTGCGTGCTCGCTTCACTCAGCTGGTGCAGGTGGAGGAACGCTGGAGAGCTACCAGCTCCAGCCGTAATGAATGGATGGATGGATGGATGGATGGATGGCGCCACGCCGCCCAGGCGAAATGAAGATGTTTGACCATTAAATAAACTCATAATAAATGCGACTTGTATGCCGAAGCGACTTTTCTGTTCAGTGCCCTGAGATGACTTCTGTTGTGACTTGGTGCTATATAAATAAACTGAACTGAACATATAATTTTTTTCCTCTTCATGATGCTTTTCTTGACTGATGCGACTTATATTCTGGTGCGACTTATACGCCGGAAAATACGGTATAACGTTCTTAAGATTTAATCAATTTAATGGGACTTTTAAAACCTAAAAGTATGAAAAGGTTAAAAAAAATTCCAATGCAAGCAGTCCTAAACTCACCTGCAGGCAAAACAGAGCTCGCTGGCGTAAATAGTCTGTGTTGAGGAGCTGCAGCTCGTGGAAGAGCTCGATGAGAAAGTGGGGTCTCGACTCGTTCTGGGAAATCAAAGTAGCCACTTCGGAGTAAATGGTCTCTCTCAGAGCTTCGAAGAGTGAGAAGTCACTGCTTGCATCTAGAGTATTGGGATTTTACAACATGAGTAAAAATAACATATTAGAAGATGTATTTAAATTGACTGCTTGTTACTGAGGGAAATATTTAGTTTGGCCATCTTGGTTAGGGTTTGGACGACTGAAATGTGTGACAGTTAGTAGATGATAAGAAAATCAGATGACGAAAGATCTGCATGGTGACGTTACCTGGTGCTTCTGTGCATGCAATTCTGTTAGAGAGGAAGGGTGTTCTCCAAGCATAAGCTGTGAGTAAAATAAATTAAAAGTAACAAATTACCCTAAAAATAAAATTAAGCATGCAATAATGGCAGATGTGTAAAATAAAATGAATGAATAAAAGGAGAGGAGGTTTGTAAATTCAGGGACCAATAAAACGTAAAAATATGATAATGAATACAATTATAGAATGTTTACAGAAAAACAAGATACAGACTGGAATCAGGAAATAAACTGTGGACACTGTTACAAGTAATCTGAGCCGTACCCGAGGAGAGGTCATTTCTTTTGTTCCCAAGCTTAGCCTTGCTGTCCAGCTTTTCTTGAGTCAGTTTGTCCAGCAGTCTCTGATTCTGATCCCTGTGATGGGACGACGCTGCCCTCTGGTGGACAAAGTCTACAGTGCTGCTGACACTGTCACTCTCATGGCCTTGAAAGAAAAATAAGAAACTAGGACTGACATCATTGAAAAAATATTTACATATTTTACATGCATAAAGGACATAAAACCAAATAATAAGTAAATATATTTGAGGAGCTTGACTCCACTCATACCTTCACTGTTCTTGCTGTGCCCTTTGCTCCTCCTGCGTTTGTTTTTTGGCGTTTTGCTTCGGGAGGCCAGGTTGGCTTGTGCCGAGGCCTTCCTTCCAGCCTTAAAGGTCTTTGTGATTGTGGTTGGATCAACAGGATCAGGGATGCTGCTGAAGCTTCCCTGCGACTCCTTGTCGAACTCTGGCCGTCTCGAGTGAGGTTTCTCAAACGATGGGGAGGAAGAGGCAGACTCTCGAAGCTCAGTTTTAGACGTGTGAAGCCGAGTTATATTTTTTGTGTAGGATGTGTTGAGTCGGGCTGCCGGTCTAATGTAGCAAAGCCAAAATGGAACATAAACAAGTTTAAATGAAAAATCAAATGTATTCAAAGACAAATCCCCATTTTTCCATACCTTCTGTCAGCAGAAGTGTTAAGAGGGGAGCGTTGCAGTGGAGGAGGGAAAGTCATGCACTCAGTTTTAATAGAAGCGTTTTGATCCAGCTGAAGGTTCTGATGCTCGGGAGTAGCTGGGCCAACTGCGCCTCGAGGAAATCCCCCCATGGCAGCAGGAAATGACGGATACAAGTTAAAGCCTTTAGAATGAAAGAAAATGTGATTGGCTTAAGATGTTGCGTTAATGCTCCATAAAAAGCAATAAAATCATAATTCATTCAACATCATTTTACTTAGAACTGTGTCATCTCAGTGTCCTTTTAAAACACTCGTTTAAAATAAGGACACACTTTATAACCTTGAGCACTGCAAATCATGAAATATAATCAATAAATTACATGAACTGTTTACTTTTTTGTTATTTATTAACAAAATGTGTATGCATTGAAAAAAAAAGGACCCTCCTTATTCATTTGCTGCAGAATAAATCAAAGACCTAATCAATAAGCAAATCATACTGGGAGGGAATGGAGGCGATGAAGAATTTGCTGTGTTTAAAGCAGAAGCATTCAAAGTAGAGTTGTAGGGGAGGAAGATGCCAGGCGGCGCTGAAGGGTCCGGGTTGGATTCCTGTCCTGAGCCCTGCTTCTGTGTCTGCCAGCCTGCTTCTGAGCCCTGCTGCTGCTGACGGATGAGGTCGTTCAAGACCTGCTTCAATCTGAAAGAAACATTAGATTGTAGAAAATTTACCATGGTAGAGAACTCAACTGACCGTTCAGGCTACTACTTTTACCTTTGTACATTGTTTTGCTGCCAAGTCAGCTGAGTATAGCACTGGTTAAGCTGATGCATGACCAGTTGGACCTGTGGTGACGACAGGTTGTTGGGTAACACGCTGTACTGTCCTGTCAGCAGAGTCTGCAACATGTATGATAGAGTCTGTGGAAGAATAAAGAGCCACTGACTGACCAACTTTTTTTTTTTTTTTTTTTTTTACGGTAATGTCATTTAGACGCTGTTCACAACTAGAAATAATAATTGCTCCTTGATGATCAGAATACAGAAGGACAGACGTGTTCCGATTGTCTACTTATCATCTCATCTAACTTCTCTATATGCTGAATATTCGAGCAGTAGGTCAGCTTATGAAGTGGCCGACAGCTGATGTTTCTGCAAAATCATAATTACCTTCATTGAGCTACTGATTCACAAATGTTTGATTTTTCTGAGTCAAATCGGTTGGGAAATTATTTTTCAAATATTTGAACAGGTTCAATTATAAAACAAGTGAAATATTAAATGTACAAAAGCAAAACAATTGATTTATGATAAGGCAGAACTCAAACCCAGTGCAATTCATCTGACTAAAATAAAAGCTTTGTTGTTTTTCTGTGTTTTTATTTTTTTTAAAAAGAAACTGTCCAGATGACCTGACTGAAAAATGTTGGATTATATACCTGGATTATTGAGCATGGACTTTGTTGTAATCCATGCTAAGCTCTGCTGTTACATAAGAAATAGTTTAACAAAAACCTGTCAGGCCCTTTTCTAACTTTTTGAAAAAAACACATGGGAAAGATGAATCCGTAGACTAAAAGACTGATCCAGCACCTGCTTTGTTCATCATCTCTGCAAACTTTACCATCCAAAGACAAGCAGAACATTATTCTGAATGTTTGGATGATGCTTTTTATAGAATATTTAACAGCTAGAAACTGAAGAGAGAAAAAACAACTCCTAATGGATGTGGTGTGCCTGAAGTCAGATCAAATGAGCTGACCCTTCAACTGGGCCTAGGACACATTTGCACTCATGCTGTTGCATCAGAGTTGAACAAGCACCACAAAGTTTCTAAACCTGCACTGAGCAACTTAATACTAATGTTTGAGTCAATTTATCCTGAACAGATTTTTCGATTGTATTTAGTGCTGTCCATTTGAGATCAGGTAAGCCAGGGTAAAGTTAAAACAAGAACTTTAACGTGTGTATTTGTTTAGTTTACAAACCTGCTGATCCTGCAGGAGTGTCTGACACATGCTGGTACTAAAATCCAGCTGTCTCTGTAGCTGGCTGATCTGTTCCTGCCAGTGAGGTGTGCTGTCAACAAACGAGGACTCAAAGGGCCAGCACAGGTTCTCTTGTCGACGCATACCTCCGGTCTGGCCTGCAGACTGATTCAAAGTTCTGCACTGCTGCTTCGCCTCAGTCTTGTTATGTAGATGCCCACCACTGTCACCTGAAAAGGCTGCGGGAGGCTTCAGATTGCTGAAGGCACACACAAAAACACTCAATGAATTTAGGAAAACTGTGGCAAATGTCAGAACTACAAGATTGCACCTGTCCATCGTGTGGTCTGACCTTCCTTGATTCTTCCTGTTGCTGTAGGAGCACTGGTTCATGCTCGGTGAGAAGACATGAATGTCGTCATCAGAGCTACTTTCTGTACATTCTTCTCGATCCTCTTCGTCTGCGCACATTTCTGAGTGATATTCATCCTCTTCCTCGTTTTCATCATCATCATCATCATCAAGATGGCCTGAACTGGAACCCCAGGTGGCCATCGTTCTAAAAAGAAATGAGATGTTGCTTTTATAAGTATCATAATTTCTGGTCTATAAGCAGCTACTTTTTTCACAAGCTTTGAACCCTGCGGCTTATGCTGCAGATAATTTATGGATTGTTTTTTTTCCTGACAGGTTAACGAGATTCCTGTCGTCAAAACATTTAGCTTCGTCACACCTGGGCACTCACATAGATGCCCAATACACATCTCTCTTGGGGGGTGGGTCCTCGTGATGCAATGAGACTACCTGTATAAATAAAGTAAAAAAAAAATCTGACCGATGAGATGACCAAACAGGTCACAGTCGAACCGATGAAACGAGGAGGGAAGGAGAGAATGGGAGGGAGGATTCCCTGCATGTGCAGAGCATGTGAGTCTCACATGCTCATAGAACACTTTTTGCTCCAGGGAGCAGGAGGAATATAGCGATCAATGACTTCCTGGTAGGCTCCTGCACTTTATTTTATTTTTAACCAGCCATGTTACTGGCACTGTTCAGAACCCCCCAAAAAACCAACTATTGTACATGTTTGTGTATGTTACTGGTACATATTGTAGAATTATGTGGTTCATTGTGGTTGACAGTCCACCACATGGCCTCAGGGAGGGATTATGGGTAAAATTTATGTTCATTGTTAATCATTTCGGTGAGCTGTTTAGCATTGTTCCTTTAGTGATTAATCTGTTTTTGTTAGCCTAGTTCATGTGTTCATTTTGTGTTAGTTTGTGTTGGGCCATTCGGTAGAGTAACCATGAGTGAGGTAGTCGTCATGAAGACCTGTGGGGTTCACTCCGTCTGTGTGTTGAACATTAAAATAAATATAAAACACCATCTGGTGGTTGATTCTTGATCTACAAGAGCTGATCATTTCTCTCAGTAGCTGTGTGATGCCACTCATGTTGTATCGTTATACACAAGCGCGGCTTACATATGTACAAATTTTTTTTTTGCATGCCTTATAGTCAGGTGCGCTCTATAGTCTGGAAATTACAGTAGGTAGAAAATGATCAATGATTATCTCAAAAAAACAGAAGACTAACAACGCAGCCTTAATAATTTTTTACTTGAAATAACTTGGAAACTTAAACAGTTCTAAATTCAAACTTGTTGACACAGGCCTAATGAGAAGTGTGTCCTCTACCTTTCATCTCTGTTGACAGGTTGTGAATTTGTATCGTTCTCCTCTTGGTCTTCAACCTGACAGGGCGAGTCACAGAGACCACTTTTTCTCTGGTGTTCAGCCATCAATGTCTCGAGATGTTTTCTGCGCTGTCTCAGATCTTCTCTCAGAATTTGTCGCCGACGCATTTCTGACCAAAGCTGCTGGCAAGAAAAACAACGAGACCATTGGTCAACAAAGACAGCTCTTACAAAACGTGGTCAGTTTTTTTGGATAAAAGTGACTAAAAGTTGAAAGCAGAGGGTGTGCTGGGTGGAAGTTTGAATGCTTTACCTCATTATCAGTGACAGAAGAAGATGCTGCCTCTGGAGCGGTGGGTTTGAGGACAGCCAAGTTAGTTTTGGGTCCAGAAGATGAAGACAGCTGGCCAGTAGCTGGACTGGAAACTGCAGCTGGAACTTTTCTCAGCAATCCCTGCTGACTACCTATGCTGGACACAGATGACTGCAAATGACACAAAAAAAATTATAAAGTTGATTTTTGATAGAAGTGCCCAAATTCAACCTCAAAAGTCACATTAAAGACCCAATAAAAGCTAAACTAATAACTGTAGCTAACGTGGTGGCACTAAATGTATATTTTTTCTGCAATATCATTTGTGGAGTTCCTCAAGGCTCTGTACTTGGAACAAAGTTATTTATTTTATATGTGAATGACTTAGTGAATGTATCAGGACTCCTCAAATGTGTCCTTTTTGCAGATGACACCACATTTTTTTGTTTGGGTAAAGATGTAAAACGGATGTTGGAATTGATGAAGACAGAATTTGATAAAATACAAACTTGGTTTAAACTTAATAAATAATCATTAAATTTAGATAAAACTAATTACATGATATTTAGTAACAAAAAGAGAACTGTTGATGATCCATTTAAAACTGAGGGTGTTGAGATTTGTAGAGTTAATGAGATGAGATTTTTGGGTGTAATCATTGATGAACAGCTAACATGGAAAAATCACATAAATTCTGTAAGAACAAAAATATCTAAATCTATTGCAGTACTATACAAAGTCAGGGAATTATTAAATGATAAAGCTCTGTACATGTTGTATAACACAATCATTGTTCCACATTTAATCTATTGCATTGATGTTTGGGGGAAAGCGTGTAAAACATTTACAAAGCCTATTTTTATTTTACAGAAAAGAGCTGTAAGAATTATCACCAGAAAGCATTACAGTCACCCATCAAGCACATTATTTTATCAACTGAAGTTATGGAAGTTCCATGATTTGGTAAATTATAGTATTTTATCAGTTATGTATAGGGCTCAAAATAACACATTACCATTAAATATCCAAAGAAATTTTGTTAAAAGACAAAGTTGTTATAATCTTAAGGGGATGGAGATATTTGTCAAACCAAAATTCAGAACTAGTCTGAAGGGAAGGTCTACCTCAATCCAAGGAGTTAGATTGTGGAATGGTCTAGAGAGTGATGTGAAAAATGCCAAGTCAATGTGTACATTTAAGAAAAAGATCAAAGCTGAATTGTTAAAAAAAAAATATATATAAAGTAGCTTAATGTGTTTTTTGTATTAGAATTAGAAAAATTAAGAGACAGTTTTTTGTATTAGAATTAGAAAAATTAAAGTTATTCATTTTGTTCCGTTACTTGAAAATTATTGTGATTGAACTAATTGTGTGAAAAAAGGGGCAGATATAAGATTTTTTCTTCTTCTGCTGCCTTTCATTTTAAATCTCTTGTATTTTTTTATATTGTTATGAAATTGTTTTGTATTTTTTAAAATGAATAAACTTTATACCATACCATACCAAATGTAACAAACTTTGTGATTAATGTAGATAACATAAAAAAAAAAACAAGTTTAGTATTTCCTTCCAGGTGAGAGACAAAAAAAATCTCCCAAATTTTTCAAGTTTTTAAGAAATAATTTGAAATTAACAGTTCTCTAAAAGTTCAACCCATTTTTTATTTTTTTTTTCACAGAACTGTAACTAAAACTATACAGTTGACTAATTATTCTGTAAACAGCTAAAATACCAGTTGTGTGGTGTGGGTCTCAACGTTTACAAAGCTTAACCACGTAAACAAAGTGGTCAAGTACCTGAAGATCAGGACAAGCCCACTGCAAGTCCTGGATCTTGCCTTGGATTTCAATGAGTCTCTGACGTTCTTCATGGAGCTGCTTGAGCTCCTGCTTCTGCTGATGCAGTTTTTCTTCATACAGCTTCTCCCTGTCAGAAAACAGAACAGCTCTGATGCAAATATAAATCCATAAAAATGCAACAGCAAAATAATAATAATAATCCTATAAAAACATCTTGAGCAATAACAGCACAAATAATCCTACTGGCATGTATTTTTCCCCACCTGGCCTTGCTGGACAGGGCAAGATCTCTTGGACTTTGTTTAGATCTAGTCCCCGATGTGCCAGATGTAGGAGATCTGGTATTGTTAGGCTGTTGGTGTAAAACTTCATCCTCATTTGCTGTTGTTCCATCTGTGTCATCACTCTGTAAAAAGACAGTTTTTTTCTTTACCAAGTTATTAAATATATACAGTATTTTAGGCACAAAAAAGCCCAACAACATTCAAAATGAACTCTGTTTCTGGTATTTAAAAAATAGCAGCATATTTTTCTGCTTTTGCAAATTCCTTTTTTTTTTTATATAAATTTCTGAAAAATATAAGACAAAAAAATGACATGTCAATTTTTATTATTGGGTTTGATATGGGGACAATACAACCATTTGTTACTTTTGCTCTGTGAGTTGCTACCTTTAATGAGTAATTTAAAATTTAATTTATATTACCTGAGATTTTTTTCCACAAATGAATCCATGTAAATATAAGTGCTATATATTGTCATCACTGTATGATTCCCATACAATGACGAAATTAGTTCTGTGCATTTAACTCATTACACATGAGATACAGCCAGGTGGAGCAGTGGGCACCTATTCAAGCGCCTGGGGAGCAATTAGGGATTGGGTGTTTTGCTCAAGAGCACCACGGCATGTGGGCATGGTAGGGAGTCGAACCACAACTTTCCGGCCCCAGGTCGGCTGTCCTACCTCTACATCATCTCGGCCCCCTGTAAGAGTCTTTTCATGAAGCATTAGAAAACAAATGTTTGGTTGTCTTTACTGATGATAAACCAGCATTAGACTGTAATTCTGCAGTACATTTATATTTTTCCAGTGATCAATGTTAGAGAATTTTTGGTCAAAGGTTATGGATGTTTTTAACTATTATGGCTGAGAATGCCAACTCTGCCCATGAACCATACGTATGGGTTAGTAAAGCTGGATGAGGAGCTGAGTGAGGCTGCAACATGCAGCCGTCACTTCAATGTCACCTCCAAGTCTGTGAGCTCGGCTGAACTGATAAGAGTATAAAAACAAGATTCACACACGGCTCTTGGCAGATTCTCATGACTGGTCTTCATGTGTGTACTTTCTGTATCTGTGTAACCTGTCCTGAAAATCTGACCTCGCAAGTAAAAACCAGTTACAAATCTGCTGTCGAGTGTGGTTTCTTTTGAATAATTAAGATAAAGCGAGAATACCTTTCTCCAACAATCAACTGCAAAATATTTAGATAACAGGCATGTATGAAGTGACTTTATAAAATTTATCTGGTTTATTTTCTATACTGAAAACACATTAAATGACCGTAAAACTGTAAAACTCCACCCCACCTGAACCATTGCCACCAGCTCCTGTAGCTGCCGGAGTTTCTTCTTCGCCGTCTGCCGATGAACCTTCGGAGCAAAATCTGCATCATTCCTAAGGCTACTCCGTCGACTGGACTCCGATGCACTGTCTGGAACCATAACCTGTGCCCCTTCATTATTATCAACACAATCTTCATCCTCATCTTCATCCTTTACCTGACCATAAGGGATGTCCCTATTGTACTGGCAATCTAGATGGGATGAGAGTAAATTTTGATTATCAAATGCTGTTAAATCAGGTCTTCGAAAATGTGTTGCCTAAACATTACAAGTCTGCACTTCTACAAAACATCAATCTGATGCACGTAATAAACTTGAATAGGTCCATTTCTCACATTAAAATGTTTTTCTCTGTCAAAATGCATTGAAATGGATATTGTTGATAAACTTGGATTTAAACATCGCCAAGCCAGATAACAATCCGTCATTTTATAAAATAATTTGATAAACCCTTAATTTTTTTCATTTCAAAGACTTGCAATTTTGATTTTAAACTTTATCTGCGTTTATTAAAAAGTTGATCCTGCTAGAAGCATTCAAGATAAACGGCAATGTGAGGTGTAAAACTAATCTAAGTGGTATGCGTGAGCAAACCTATGGGCGTGGTGATGTTGAGGCTGCGGAGGTTGGTTGCTGTCCTGTTGTTGATCTCGCACTCTGTGTTGAGTCTGCCATCGCGGTTGTTAGTCGCACTACACCTGACACTGCGCCCATTGGTCAGGCTGTTCAAGTCTGCCCAGTTCCTGCTGCGTGGTGGGTTTCTGAAGGCATAAGGTGCAGTCTGTTATCGTTACGTTCAACCAACAGAAATACACAACAAAATCAAGAAGTAAAACTACAACACTCAATGTTTGTCCAACTCACTACATTAGTATGTATTGTTTATATAAGTTTATTCATTTAACAGAAATCAGGAAAAAGTTTGAGTTCACCTAATCTTTTATTTATTTACACACCCACCTGATGTTAGTTAAAGCTTGACGACTCTCCTGCTCCAAGCCAAACATGGTTTCAAACATAGAGCCATCCTCTGTCTCATCTTCCTCCTCATCAACTTCCTCTTTTACATTCTCGTTGACAGCATCCACCATCATATCAGAAGTCTGCTCGTAGTACTGGACCAGTTCTCTCAGCTCATTCAGACGCTTATGCACCTCTTTAAGCTTCCTGTAGGAATAGATGAAAGAAGTGACTGCATACCATGTTTATTTTCTGAAAGGTTATGCAACACAACAGAACAATGTCTTACAACTTCTTGAAAGAATAAAGAACAAGACAAAAACTGAAATTCACTGGCGAAGACAATCTACTAGGTTCTATTGTTAGGTAACACTATACCACCCGTATTCTTTATCTTGCCATAGATATCTGACCAGCCTTTGCTACTATTTTGAGCTGTGTGTACACGTGTTTATATGTACCTAAGCTTGTCAGAGGAGCTGGGGTCCTCCGGTTGTTGTGCGAGTAAAGGTTGAAAGGATGTGGAAGCCAAGGCTCCGTTAGAGAAGAGAGCAGATGGACAATCTGAGGATCCTGCTATACTTGAACTGCACTGTACCGACAAGCTGCGACCTGAAAATCCACAAGCAATTTATCAAAGTTTTGTACAGATAGAAATTATCGTACATAATGATTGGGGGGGAAAAAAAAGGGGGGGGTAAAAATACTCATACACGAGCTATTGTTAAGTGTCTGGTCTCTTAGTGAATGTAGTTCTTGTAGGATCTTGTCCATGGTTTGCTTTTTGTCTTGGAGTTCTTGCATCTTGGTGAGTTTGACACTGGAAGTAGTTGCTTCAGAGTCTAGGTCGGTGTGTGGGCCAGAAGCAGAGTGAAGAACTGGCCTGTGTTGAGGTGGACCAACAGCCTGGGGAGTCCTCCAGAAAACTTCTCTGGAGAGAGAAAGACTCTGTGCCTGACGCCGATTATCTGGCACTGCTTTACTCTGCAGCAGAAAAGACTTGTCAGTTGAGTGTCAAAGGCTGTTCAAGATGTTCAGATTAGTTTAATCACATTGACATAAATATTTTGGCATACTGACAAGAACTATACCGTATTAAATCTAATATCTTTTTCATTAAAAACCGCAGTACATACATCAGTCATTATTTCCTAGATGGCATAATTAGATACTGTAACAACTTAACTGTAGTTTTCTGCCGTACCTGGGAGTCATGTAGCTGGTTGTGAAAACGCTGAATTAAGTCATTTAACTCATCATTCAGTTCTGACGTGATGCTCAGGCCTGAAACACTGCCAGTGGTTTCTGTGACAACTAAAGTCAAAAACAAACTTAAGACACAATGAAAAGTGTTGATAATAAATTTATGCAAGATATTATGATGGGACGTACAAACAAATGTTGTAAAACTGTTAGCTCTGCCTTTTAAATGTTTATTAAACAGATTACAACTAGGTAAAAAGAATGCATACTTCTATTTTCTCTAACTCTACAGATTAATAGATGTGAAATTCTTCAACTATACACACAACTAGTCTGCATTCAGTGTGAAAATGTGCATCTGTGTGTGTGTGTGTGTATCACACCTGTGTCTTCAATCACAGCAAGTGCGTGTTCTGCACTGCGCTGCATAGCCATGAGAGCTTCTTGTTGGCCCTGCAGGGCCCTGAGCTGTTCTTGCTGTTCTAGCATCTTCTTCAGCAGCTCGTGTTGCTTACGCAGGTTTTCCAGTTCTTCCCTCTGGTCAGCATGTTCAGCTTCTGGCCTGTCAGTCTATAAATGCAACCCCACGTATCAGTCCAAAGACAGACTCAATCCAAATCTACATGAGCGGTAAAACTCTGCTAGCAAGTAAGACAACTGTAAGGTAAAAGAAGGACTTTTTACCCCTGAGTTTCTTTGTACAGAGTGTATGTTTGGGCAAAGGGAAAAAAAGTAATATACAGTGGGGAGAACAAGTATTTGATACACTGTTGATTTTTCAGGTTTTCCCACTTGCAAAGCTTGTAGATGACTGTAATTTTTATCATAGATACTCTTCAACTGTGAGTGATGGAATCCAAAACAAAAATCCAGAAAAATACAATGTATGATTTTTAAATAATTAATTTCCATTTTATTGTGTGAAATAAGTATTTGATCATCTATCAACCAGTAAGAATTTTGGCTCTCACAGACATGTTAGTTCTTCTTTAAGAAGCCCTCCTGTTCTCCACCCATTACCTGTATTAACTGCACCTGTTTGGACTCGTGACCTGTATAAAAGACACCTGTCCACACACTCAATCAATCAGACTCCAGCATCTCCACAATGCCCAAGACCAGAGAGCTGTGTAAGGACATCAGGGATAAAATTGTAGACCTGCACAAGGCTGGGATGGGCTACAGGACAATAGGCAAGCAGCTTGGTGAGAAGGCAACAACAGTTGGTGCAATTATTAGAAAATGGAAGAAATACAAAATAACGGAAAATCTCCCTCGGTCTGGGGCGCCATGCAAGATCTCACCTCGTAGAGCATCATTGATCTTGAGGAAGGTGAGGAATGAGCCCTGAACTACACGGCAGGACCTGGTCAATGACCTGAATAGAGCTGGGACCACAGTCTCAAAGAAAACAATCAGTAACACTCTATGCCGTCAAGGATTAAAATCCTGCAGTGCACGCAAGGTGCCCTTCCTCAAGCCAACGCATGTCAAAGCCCGTCAAGTTTGCAAATGACCATCTGAATGATCCAGAGGAGGAATGGGAAAAGGTCATGTGGTCTGATGAGACAAAAATAGAACTTTTTGGTTTAAACTCCACTCGTCATGTTTGGAGGAAGAAGAATGATGAGTACAACCCCAAGAACACCATCCCAACCGTGAAGCATGGCGGTGGAAACATCATTCTTTGGGGATGCTTTTCTGCAAAGGGGACAGGACGACTGCAACATATTGTGGGAAGGATGGATGGGGCCATGTATTGTGAGATTTTGGCCAACAACCTCCTTCCCTCAGTAAGAGCACTGAAGATGGGTCGTGGCTGGGTCTTCCAGCATGATAACGACCCAAAACACACAGCCAGGGCAACTAAAGAGTGGCTCCGTAGGAAACATCTTAAGGTCCTGGAGTGGCCTAGCCAGTCTCCAGACCTGAATCCCATAGAAAATCTTTGGAGGGAGCTTAAAGTCCGTGTGGCCCAGCGACAGCCCCGAAACCTGAAGGCTCTGGAGGAGATCTGAATAGAGGAGTGGGCCAAAATCCCTGCTGCAGTGTGTGCAAACCTGGTCAAGAACTACAGGAAACGTCTGATCTCTGTAATTGCAAACAAAGGTTTCTGTACCAAATATTAAGTTTCATTTTTCTGGTGTATCAAATACTTATTTCACACAATAAAATGGAAATTAATTATTTAAAAATCATACATTGTATTTTTCTGGATTTTTGTTTTAGATTCCATCAATCACAGTTGAAGAGTATCTATGATAAAAATTACAGTCATCTACAAGCTTTGCAAGTGGGAAAACCTGAAAAATCAACAGTGTATCAAATACTTGTTCTCCCCACTGTATGTACTGAAGCAATATATTAAAGCAGACAGCTAACGTTATGCCAATGTGCTTGTTGTTGTGTTTGAAAAGTCTAAAGGCCAAACCTCTACATTAAGAAAAGCGCTCCCTGCCAGTGAACCCGGGCCGATCGCAGAGTGCAGTCCAGCATCTCCGCCATTCTCCTGTGCCTGTAGACACATGCACACAAAAATAGAAAAATACAGAAGTATATTGCTTAAGAAAGGCACTGAAATAGATAATGTATATACGCATATTGACACAGAACAATATAAATATGTACAAACCGGAATCCAAAAGAGTTGAGACACTAAACAAATTGTGAATAAAAACTGAATGCAATGATGTAGAGGTGCCAACATCTAATATTTTATTCAGAATAGAACACAAATCACAGATCAAAAGTTTAAACTGAGAGAATGTATCATTTTAAGGGAAATATCTGTTGTTTCCAAATTTCATGGCGTCAACAAATCCCAAAAAAGTTGGGACAAGTCCATTTTGACCACTGTGTGGCATCCTCCCTTCTTACAACACTCAGCAGACGTCTGGAGACAGAGGAGACCAATTTCTCAAGTTTAGAAATAGGAATGCTCTCCCATTCATGTCTAATACATGCCTCTAACTATTCAATCGTCTTGGGCCTTCTTTGTCGCACTTTCCTCTTTATGATGCGCCAAATGTTCTCTATAGGTGAAAGATCTGGACTGCAGGCTGGCCATTTCAGTACCCGGATCCTTCTCCTACGTAGCCATGATGTGATTGCTGCAGAATGTGGTCTGGCATTATCATGTTGAAAAATGCAGGGTCTTCCCTGAAATAAATGACGTCTAGATGGGAGCATATGTTGTTCTAGAACCTGAACATAGTTCTCTGCGTTAATGGTGCCTTTCCAGACATGCAAGCTGCCCATGCCACAAGCGCTCATGCAACCCCATACCATCAGTGATGCAGGCTTCTGAACGGAGCGTTGATAACAACTTGGGCTATCCTTGTCCTCTCTGGTCCAGATGACATGGCGTCCCAGTGTTCCATAAAGAACTTCAAATCGTGACTCATCTGACCACAGAACAGTCTTCCATTTTGCCACACTCCATTTTAAATGACCCCTGGCCCAGTGCAAATGTCTGAGCTTGTGGAGCTTGCTTAGAAATGGCTTCCTCTTTGCACTGTAGAGTTTCAGCTGGCAACGGCGGATGGCACGGTGGATTGTGTTCACTGATGATGCTTTCTGGAAGTATTCCTGAGCCCATTCTGTTATTTCCTTGACAGTGGCATTCCTGTTTGAGGTGCAGTGACGTTTAAGGGCCCGGAGATCACGAGCATCCAGTAGAGTTTTACGGTCTTGACCCTTACGCACAGCAATTGTTCCAGATTCTCTGAATCTTTTGATGATGTTATGCACGCTTGATGATGATAACTTAAAAGTCTTTGCTATTTTACGCTGGGTAACACCATTCTGGTATTGTTGCACTATCTTTCTGCGCAACAATGGTGGAATTGGTGATCCTCTTACCATCTTGGCTTCTGAGAGACACTGACACTCTGAGAAGCTCTTTTTATACCCAGTCATGTTGTCAATTGACCTAATTAGTGTTAATTGGTCTTCCAGCTGTTCGTTATATGCTCAATTTCCTTTTTCCAGCCACTTATTGCTACTTGTCCAAACTTTTTTGGGATTTGTTGACACTGTGAAATTTTGAATCAACATATTTTTCCTTTAAAATGTTACATTTACTCAGATTAAACTTTTGATCTGTCATCTATGTTATATTATGAATAAAATATTGACATTTGCCATCTCCACATCATTGCATTCAGTTTTTATTCACAATTTGTTTAGTGTCCCAACTTTTTTGGAATCCGGTTTGTAGAAAAAAGTTTAAATATAAATAGGTCTGTCAGAATTATTAGCAATGTCAACAGAAAGACCAATATGTCAAATAACAAGCAAAAAAAAAAACCAGCACCTAAAGGTGGCATGTGCCAGTTTTAACAAGAACTTGATCTGACGTGCTCAGGTCAGAAGTAAAAACAAACAATTAAAAATGTAGAGATGGCAGGCTGCCCGACATTAACACAGTTTCTGTTTCATCTATAAATTAACCAAGAAGTATCATTTACAAATGTTTCCTTTAAATCATTTGTTTATAACGTCTGTAAAGCAGAAAAAAGTCCAAAAAAAAAAAAGAAGATTAAACTAAAGAAAAACAGAATTAACAACAACAACAACAACAACAAAAAAAAACTTACAAGCATTTTCTGCAAGAAATGTAAATAGGACTTCTCCTGCTCTTTGAGGTGCTCGATGAGATGAGAAAGACGCTCCACGTTGGCCGGCACATCATTCTTTTCCACCAGATCATCCCTCATAGACCTGGCCTTACTGATGTAGTCCCGGATCTGTAACAGTTTGCTTACCACCTGCGAGCATACAGAGTGAGAAGGGTGGGTGGGGTGAGGGTTTGTTAGGGGAAACAAAAAGGAAACAAGAAAACACAAAGAAAGGTGAGAGCGCATCTGTAGTGATGGTTCAGACTAAGCTAAACAAGGGCAGAAAGAGGGTTGGACGCAAAACTCACTTGGCACTGATGGTAGCATATTTATAAATTGGCCTATATACAGTCTAGTTTCAGCTGCACCAGCTCTCCCTCACTTTCATCCTAGTTTTGTTTTTACAAGCAGTAGAAATAAAAAGCAATATACTGGTAATAAAAATATTAAGATGCAATAAAATAAACCTTTCACTGGATTTTAAATTTATAACAAAACTAAGTTTATGTCTGCACTCCCATCAGTTAGTGTCATGTCCCTCCTCATCTTCTGTAGAATCACTTTAACAAGAAGAAAATAAAAAGTTGATAAGTTTAGTGATATAAAACTTGTCATCCTTCAGCATCCAGTATCAGAGACCTTTCATCTCTGAAACATGAATCACATGTTTCATCACATGAAACATGTGTTGTTAAAAAATCTTCCTCAAAGGATCAACTTCTTCCAGCTGTTCCCTCTTCGGGGGTCACCACAGCCAGTCATCCTCCATTTTCTCACTCTCAAACATGATATTGAATAATCGAGTCAAAAATCTTAGCACCGCCTCGCCTGGATATTTCCATATCTTGACTGGTATGTAATAACCCTCAAAAGAACAGGACATAAAGTGGTAATTAAACATGAGTTGGCTATGACCTTAAAAACGTCAAAATATTACCTGGCTGCTGTCTAATACCATCTTGCGTCTCTCATGCTCTCGCTGCATTAAGGGACCTCTCTCTGTGGCACTTCGGCTGAGCCTGGAAGATTCTTTAGCAGGAACCATGGGAGTCAGCGTAACCCTGATTCCTGGACTCTGCTTTTTGATTTCCTTGCTGATAGCTGGAGTGGTTGGGGCCGAGATTGAGGGATGGAGCAGCTCTTTGCTTTTGTTGGTGTTTACATGCAGAGGCAGGTAGTTGTGGGGCTTCCTGTTCACTCCAGCTAACTGCCGCTGGTTGTTAGCAGCTGTGACGCGCCCCTGAGAGTCACTGCCGATGCTCCTCTGAAAAAAGTTAAAAGATTCAAGCCAGAAAAGAAAAATCAGTAATTCAAGTTTTGGTAAATTTTCTTTTACTATTGATAAAGCTCATGTTTCAGGTGCCATACTTTTGAAATTTATTGGATTAGATAAAGAAAATGCATAGATCAGGAACCCGTGTTTTTAATACGGTACTTATCGCTGCATAAGTCGCATCCTTTTGCAATAATTACCATATTTGTCGCCGTATAAGTCATGTTTTTTTTGCATAATTTACATGCCCTGCAACATATAGGCCAAGGCGACGTATTTATGGATTTTTTCCCCATATTTATAAACCAATTTTTGGCTGAGATATGACCGTTTTCATTTATTCTGACTGAAAAAAATTAACACTACCATTTTTCAACCACTAGATGGATGCAGAGTAGAAGGGCATGCCGTTGTATCATTTAATAAGTAAACGTAGCTACAATGACAAACTCAAAAAAGTATAAGACAAAAACAACTGGACTTTATTTATTATACTATACTTTATTATTTTTGTCTTGAACTTTTTTGAATGTATCATGTCCTGTAAGACTGAGAATCTTCACCAGCTATTAATGACACAATCGGCCTGCCAAAGCCTGACACCTTCGTCCATCTTGCCTGGAGCAACAGTCAAATCAGCTTCATTTTGCTGCACCACCCCAGTGAAATGCAGCTAATTTGACCATTGACGTGCATTTTTTTTAAGTAAAAGTTCAACTGAGACACACCGTTGCTATAATATCAAGCAAACAAATAATTGTTTTTAAGTGTTAATCTTGTTAAATTCTTGTTAAAGTCCTTCCGTGCACGCTCCCGCGACCGTCATTTGGCAGCCAATCGATTTTTGGCACAACACCGGCCCACATTTCCGGGTGGTCAGTGGTGACGTATAACAGATGTGACTTATACGGCGAAGTGACGTATTTATGTTTTTTCCCCACTTTATAAGACATTTTTGGACATATGTGACTTATACAGCAGTACGACATGTATGGCAGCAAGTACGGTAACACTCTCAAATCAAAACCTTAATAAATACAGTTTATGTGGATAACTGTTAGGTAAGCAGATGTGACCCCTTATTTTGCCATTACACTGACAAAAACATTGCTTTTTATTCTAAATTCATGAGTTGGACACAAAAAAGAAACGGGTTAAATTTTGAAAACTTTTTACCGATGTTGAAACATATGCCTTCTCTGACAAGTTGTGTCATGTTTAAAAAATTTAAACCCGACTGAACCAAAGAGCAAAATGAGTTTTAGCTGCTTTCTTTGCAACAGACACTTTGAGGCATTTATAAAAGTGAAGCCACAGAAACTGTGCTTTTGAAAACTCGTAAATTCAGTCTTTATATTTTAGTGAGCCTTTTGTCATTTTAACAGTGGCATGACAAAGTTAGTGCTACTACTATACTGATGAATACCTGAAACTTTCAAAGCCAAGATAGGAATGTAAAACAGGCGACGCCACATTTTTCACAACAAAAAACCTGTTCGTACATCTTTTCACCTTGAAACCATCATTTGAAATCTACACCCTTATCAGTACGACAGAATCTGTAATGCGGACACAGTCGGAGGTGAAGACCTGCTTGTCCCTTACTTTTGATTGGCTGATTTTGAAATATCAGATGCACCAAGTGCGACCAATGAATAAGTTAGTTGCAGTGCACAGAATTTTAGCAGCATGTGGAATGAAATTGGTTGCTCTATACATGCAGATTACCACCAGAAACCATGAGACAGAGCAGTTTAGCTATCATTACAAGTTAATCACCTAAACCAGTTTCTCATGGTAAGAGAGAAACTAAACAGCATTTACAACTAGAGAAAAGGTTATTTTTGGGACAAACAAAAAGAAAACAAGTGTGCATTGAAAGGCACGTCATTGCATGACGAGCATGCCTCGGCAGAAGTATTCAAATAGCTGAAATTTAGTCCTAAAGCATTTGAAACCAGAATGCCTCTACACAGAATCTGCACAAGAAACAGGAGTCATAGCATCGCCTGAGGCTCAAGAACAATTAGAAACTTAAATAGCTGTAATAGGATAATGTAATTTGGGTCGTTCAAAAACGGTGGAATACAAAATAATGTTAACATTTTAAGATGTATAATTTTATTCAAGCACACTCCAACTTTGTTTAACCTGACTGAGGGAGGATTTGAACCCAGGTTCTATGTAGGTGAGAACTGACCCTCTGTGCCATGCCTTCACTTAAAAAGAATGTAATCGTGGTTGGGTTTTTTGTACGAGAGGCTTAAGCATCCCGCAGTGTTTCTCCCAAGTGTTTCAAGGAGGGCGCCCCACCCCGTCAACAGAACTGAGCACCCCACATACAAAATCCCCCAACTCCAACGCAGCGCCGCCACTGACGGACGGGGAGCGGAGATTGTAGCAGCTCAGACTCAAAACCGCAAAAATTGTGCACAATACAAAATGTAGCGTTCCACTTTTTGTATCATCTTCTCACTATTTGCATTATTATGTTATGCAAGACTTTGGCCAACAACAGTTGTGCTTTATAAATAAATTTGATTTGATTATTTGAATAAAGTCTGCTGCACTTTAAGCTGAAGTATGGGGAAAGTATGCAGCACTAGTTTCAAGGCAAAATTCAACAAACGAAGCAAAATAATAACATTAACAATAAGAAGAAACAGAATCACAACAGTGTGCATTTTGAATTCACACTAATGTTTACCTCATCCAGATCTGTAAAATTTATCCTCTGACGGAGCTTGTCTAGTTCAGTCTGGTCTGGCACAGACATTTGTGTAGTGTATTTGATGTGGGGGAAGGAATGAGGAGTCCGGGCTTTCCTGCGGCCAGCTCCTGGGGTGGACTCTGGTGAAATATCATTAGTCAAGCGACTCTCCACCACACTAGCAGACAGCTTTTTCTTGTTCTTCTCTGAAGATCGGTTAGCTTTTTTCTGCTGTATGCCCCAGTCCTGAACAAAAACACAAATAAGTGATTTATTACAAATGTTTGAATTCCAAAAAGTAGAATATATATTTCCTTTACTTTTACATATAAAATGTAAGATGTGTAAGATTTTCCCTGGTAGATGAGAGGGTGGCTTCCCTTCGCCTTCGGGTGGGGGGACGGGCTCTGACTGTTTGTGCCTATGCATCGAACTGCAGTTCAGAGTATCCAGCTTTCTTGGAGTCTTTGGCAGGGGTGCTGGAAGGTGTGCCAGCTGGGGACTCCTTTATTCTGCTGGGAGACTTCAATGCCCACGTGGGTAATGACAGTGTGACCTGGAGGGGCGTGACTGGGAGGAACGACCTCTCTGATCTGAACCCGAGCGGTGTTCTGTTGTTGGACTTCTGTGCTAGTCATAGTTTCTCACTGGAGCGGTTCGCAGCCGAGTGTGAAGCGGCTGGGATGAGAATCAGCACCTCCAAATCTGAGGCCATGGTCCTCAACTGGAAAAGGGTGGATTGCTCTCTTGAGGTCGAGGGTGAGGTTCTGCCTCAAGTGGAGGAGTTCAAGTATCTCGAGATTTTGTTCACGAGTGAGGGAAGAATGGAGCGTGAGATTGACAGATGGATTGGTGCAGCATCTGTAGTATTGCGGACTCTGTACCGGTCCGTTGTGGTGAAGAGAGAGCTGAGTTGGAAGGCAAAACTCTCCGTTTACCGGTCGGTCTATGTTCCTACCCTCACCTATGGTCATGAGCTCTGGGTAGTGACTGAAAGAATGAGATTGCGGATACAGTCGGTTGAAATGAGTTTTCTCCGCAGGGTAGCTGCACTCTCCCTTAGATAGGGTGAGAAGTTCAGTTATCCGGGAGAGACTCGGAGTAGAACCGCTACTCCTTCACGTCGAGAGGAGCCAGTTGAGGTGGTTCGGGCATCTGGTAAGGATGCCCCATGGTGCCTCCCTAGGGAGGTGCTTCGGGCATGTCCAACTGGGAGGAGACCCTGGGGAGTGCCCAGGACACGCTGGAGAGACTATGTCTCTCGGTTGGCCTGGGAACACCTTGAAATCCTCCCAGAAGAGCTGGAAAAGGTGACTGTGGAAAGACATGTCTGGGCCTCCCTGCTCAAGCTGCTGCTCCCGCGACCCGACTTCGGAATAAGCGGAAGATGATGGATGGATGCAAGATTTATTACTGCATCAATTCACTTTAGCAGAAGCTAGAATGAAAGAATAATCTGTCGTATAAACTTTACCACCATGGCTTAATAAATTAAAATGTTGAATGGCCTCTTTAGTGTTACATTTCATGAAACAAGCCATAGATTAAGTTCTAGTTTCTGCCAAGTCCTCACCATGTTGTTCAGCCTATCCTCCAGACTGCCATTGGTTACGGTCCAGTTGTGCAATTCTTCAGCAGTGTCATCTAAAGGAGAGCCTCCGGTTGCCATGTCACCTGCTTACAGCCTGAAGAAATGCACAACAAAATGCATGCGGGTTAGCAAACTATGTCACACACAAATAAATCAAAAGCGACAAGGTGATAAGTTCACCAAAGTCTACAAATCATTCAAAATACAACACGGGAAATGCATATTTTAGAGAGATTTATCCTAAAGTTAAGACACATTGTTGAAAACTCGCCTAACCGGCTAATCTCTCCTCAGATGACGTTTATTTTGTAGCTAACCGTAAAGGTTAACGTTAGCGAATGCGTCAGATCTTACCGACAAAACTGATCATCGGCTTTTAATTTACGAACAGCTCTAAATATAATATCATTAACGTCCCAGTGGACGTCGAGCTGCCTGTGACCAGTCTGCGTGTTAGCCTTTTGTTTTGTGGCCCGCTCGGATTCTCGGGGAAAATGTAAAACACTTCCACCAACCGACTGCGCGAGGACGAACGAGCACGAGCTCACCGCGAGCCCAACGTTAGGAAGTCCGTAAGAAGCTGTAGCTGCTACCAAGGAGAAAGTGAACTCACCAGTGGCTGCCCTTGTGGTTAGCTCGAACTAATTTAACATCAGTGAGCAAACGCGTCCTTCTTGGTGAACTTTAGAATACTAGCAAATCATTTGTGACCTATATCCGACTAGCAATCGCCATGGCAACACACTGAGATCACCCTACAAATGCTAACGCGTCTCTCTTGTCCAAGTGGTCAAGCTCAAAGGCTTTGGGAGGCTAAAAAAACTAATAACGTGATACATTTTGCTTCCCATAAAGCTAACCTAAGCTGTATAGGTAAAAATGATGAAAACCAGCATCTAGTATAAAATTTGCAAAGTTGAGCTTCGAAGTGAAATAAGACTGTTTACCTTACGAAGTAACCGTTTGCATTCCAAAAGAGCTAACAGAAGTTAGCGCGTCGCGGATTTATGGCAATCCGAATGATCATATATTAGTTAGACAGGCGAGCCAATGCAGATGTTCAACACTGTTGTCCTGATGCATGCTCAACAATCCTAGTAGATGAATCTAACAAGTTGAATCAGCTCATCTGGACTTGTTGAAACGTTTCGTCTTTCATCCAAAAGACTTCTTCTGGCTTCGACAAACAAAGTCTCATAAGCAGCACCTTCTCATAGTGGATCAACCAGTTTGCTGGTGACAGCCAAAACTAGTTGTTCACATGCAATAGGAGGACCATCAGCCTAATGATGTCGGGAGAAAGGAAGCCACCTTTGTGCAGAGAACCTGCCCATCATTAAAACAGGGGCAGAGGCCTTTGTCTCCCTGTTATAATACTGTTATTGAGAGTATCACTCGGCCCTCTGTGAATAGGAAGCGGCCATGAGGGCACTAATGATCGGTCGTTTGGCTTATGGTCTAACTTGTGGTCTAGGACTGAGAGTTTTTGCTTGCAGCTCCTCAGAATGAACAACAAAGAAGAACCCGTCCAGAGGAACTGACTCAACCTTGTTAGATATATTCTTCCTTGTCATTAAAACAAAACAATCATCAATACAGGATGCCATTTGTTCCACCTTCATTCAACATTTTATATGTTTCAAGCGTTTATCATTTATGTGTTTTAGCTCCAAATATTCACAAATACAGTACAATCTTCCAATCTAGAACAATGTGGGCAACTAAATATATTTTTTAACTTATTTATTTAATAATTATTTTTGACTTGTAAAACTAACATTAGGGATATCCCGTACACTAGTTAAAAAGTTATTCAGACAACATGTAATTAAAATAATCACTAGTAACTATAGAATCATAAACATAAATGTTAATAGTATCTAAAATATTTTGGATAACTGCCATAAAAACGTGACTGGATGCCATTTTAATATAAAACAGAAATTTTAATTACTATTAGTAACAGCTACACGTTTATTATAAAGTATTTTATTATTTCCTGTGTTTATTCTAGTTAGACATGATCTACTTGAGGATATCTGGAGCTCAAAGCCTAATTAAAACACATGAATGAGTTTTTCCAGAAAACAAAACATTTAGGAAAAAAATTCCTTCTCAATTTCTGTTTATTTTTTATTATTATTTAATTAACTAAAACGTTTTCAAATGTTGATATTGACAGTAGTCAGTATAGTCATTAAATGTTTAAAAGTCCAATTAGTTTTTAAGAATTAAAATCAATTTTTGTTTCAAGTTTGGTTGTGGTGACCTTCATAAATATACTTTCTACTATGATTATTTTAGATTCCTTTTCTTTTAAATTCTGATTCATTGTGACATTTTGACTCGGAGGAAATACTAAAATTAGTTTACAACGGCTTGCCATACAGTTGCTAACTAACATAGCTAGCTAGCTTAAGATTTAAGAATATAAATGATGCCCTTACCGTTTTGAAATTGCAACGGAAGTAATTGTCACCGTCTTGTACATTATCTATTCTAGTAAATATACTGCTTTTTATCGGTTAAATGGCGTTTCATTTACGTCCTACACAGCTTTCGACTATGTTACGTTTGCCTGATGAACGCCCTCGAACAGCAGGGGGCGATATACTCAGATACGGGTAAAGAAAATACACCACAGGAAGTGCTTGTTCAGGAAATGATATCGTTGTCGTTCTCCGTTCGTTTGTTGAAGTCTCAAAACGGGGTCTGAATGTTGAATCTGGCGTGAAGAGAAAAGTCAGCCAAACTCTCTCCAACTCGGCGTGTTCTTCGCGGATACTGGACTTCGAAAACAAGCTCCAGGTTCGTCTCTCAACTGAGCGAGTTTCGTCCTCGTGAGCGTTAGCCTTCGAAGCTAACTCGAAGCTAGTTAGAAGGCGAGCGTTCGCTGCATTTTCCCGATAAATACAACAACTGTAAGAGTGTGACAAAGTGAGCACAACAAATAATGGGTTCCTCCAAGAAACGCAAGGAAAAGAGTCGCGACAAGGAAGCAGAGGAGCGCCGTCGCGAGCACAAGAAACATCGGCATAAGGAACGCGAGAGGGACAGGGACGCCTCGGATCGAGATGGAGCTCGAGACAAACGAAAACGCTCCAGGTCCAGGGAAAAAAGCAGGCGAGAGATTCGCGGCAAAGGCGAGAGAAGCAGCGGGGAGCCTCGCATCAAGAGAGAGCGAGTTGATCCTGGACACGAGGAAAGCAGCGCCCTGGTTCAGCCCCAGAGTGCCAGCGGAGACGCGTCTCTCAGCATCGAGGAGACAAACAAACTCAGGGCCAAGCTGGGTCTGAAGCCCCTGGACCTAAACGAGGACAAGAAGGAGCTCGGTACCAAAGAGGAGCCGATGGTGGCGGAAACCATCAACCCCGTTGTCATTCAGCAGCAGAAAGAGATGAGAGAGAAGCTCGCAGCCATGAAAGAAAAACGCCTTCTCAATCAGAAACTGGGCAAAGTCAAAACACTCGGCGAGGAGGACTGGTTGGACAGCACAACCGCCTGGATCGAAAGAAGCCGAAAGCTCGAAAGAGAAAAAGAGATGGCGGAGAAACGAGCCAAACTCCTGGAAGAGATGGATGAAGAGTTTGGCGTCAGCAATCTGGTGGAAGAAGAGTTTGCTCAGAGTAAACTGGATTCTTATTCTTCTCGAGATCTCAAAGGCCTCAAAGTACAGCACAAAGTCGAGTCCTTTAAGGAGGGCCATATTACTATCCTGACCCTTCAAGACAAAGGTGTTCTTGAAGAGGAGGAAGATGTGCTGGTAAACGTGGAAATGATCGACAAGGAAAAAGCTGAAAAGAACGTGGAGTTAAAAAAGAAGAAGCCTGACTACAAGCCCTACGAAGAAGAGGAGAGCGTCGACGACATGGTTACATTTAAATCCCGCTCTGTGCTGTCAAAGTACGACGAAGAGATTGAAGGCGAAAAGAAAAAGAGCTTCAGGTTGAGCTCGTGGGGCTTTGCAGATGGAGAGCGAGAACGAGAGCTCCAGGCCATGAAAGAAACGCTACGAAACCAGGCCCAGTCACTGGAAATGCCCGCTCTGTCTATTGCTTCAGAGTATTACACCCCTCAGGAAATAGTTGGCTTTAAAAAGACTAAACGCCGCGTGAAGAAGATAAGGAAGAAGGAGAAGCAGCCAACAGTTGCAGACGAGCTCCTTGATGACACGCGCAGCTCTGACTTTGGCTCCAGGACACGCGGTCGTGGCCACAGACAGGTGGGTGAAGATGGCGACGAAGGAGAAAACGAGTCTGGGGAGACGAGATGGCCACATGAAATCCCACAAATGTCTGATGACATAAGGATGGCAGAGATGGACATAAGTGATGAAGATTTTGAACCGCCCGAATCCACTGTGATTGAGGAGGACGAGGCAGAGCAGGAGCTGCAGAAACAGCTGGAAAAGCAGAGGAAGCTCAGACAAAAGCAGCTTCTCAAAGACTCCGGGGAGAAGGTGGCACAACAGATTCGGGCGTTTGGTAAAGGTGACCATGACAACGAGCACGAAAAGAAAAGCAACATCGTCTTCAACGCCACCTCAGAGTTCTGCAGAACTCTGGGCGACATCCCAACTTATGGACTGTCTGGCAACAGGGAGGACCAAGAAGATATTATGGACTTTGAACAGGAAGAAGAGAAAGAAGATGCTGGAAATTCAGACTCTGAAACGGACGAGAATATCGGCTGGAGCACAGTCAATCTGGATGAGGAGCAGCAACAGGCTGATTTCTCCACGGCCTCCGCCACCATTTTGGATGAAGAGCCCATCGTCAACTCCGGCCTCGCAGCTGCATTGCTGCTGTGCAAAAACAAAGGCCTCCTGGACACTCAGATGCAGAAGATAGCTCGTGTTAAAGCGACAAAGGGCTCTCTGCCAAATGACAACTACTGCATCGAGGACAAGATGGGCTTTGATGACAAGTACAGTCGCCGGGAGGAGTACAGAGGCTTCACACAGGAGTTCAAGGAGAAGGATGGCTACAAGCCTGACGTCAAGATCGAGTACGTGGATGAGTCCGGGCGGAAACTGACCCCAAAAGAGGCTTTCAGACAGCTGTCTCATCGATTCCACGGCAAAGGGTCTGGAAAGATGAAGACTGAAAAGAGGATGAAAAAGCTGGAGGAAGAGGCGCTGCTGAAGAAGATGAGCAGCAGTGACACTCCTCTGGGGACGGTGGCTTTGCTTCAAGAGAAGCAGAAATCTCAGAAAACCCCGTACATTGTGCTCAGTGGGAGTGGGAAGAGTATGAATGCAAACACCATCACTAAATAAATACTGAGGAAAACTGTTTTCTATGTAGTACGGAGACAGACATGCATATAAATCTATCTTAGGGTGATTTACTTTGATTTAAGAATTTGTCAATAAAATGTGTGCAGGTGTGAAACCAGTTGTCCTGTAAATTAAAACAAAAGGAGTAAACAATTATAAACAAGTTGTTTTTAAGGTGATTTATGATCTTTACATGATGTCTGGTATAAATTTCACCTTGGAAAGATAACGCTTTGAATTAGACTTAAAAAAAACATTACTGGTGCAAATACTTAAGGCTCCTATAATAACATTGTTAGAATTTAAATAACATTTAGTACAGTATTAAACATCAATGGCTGAATGTTTTTCAAAATTGGTATCAAGATTAAAAAATTACTTTAAAGGCTACAGGTACATCAGTTTTGTTTTATCTAATTTGTGTTACATGTTAATTTGGATGGTAATTCTGTACTTTTTGTTTAACTATTAGTGTCAGTACGATAAGGTTGTATCTCCTTATTTGGACTGAAAATAGAAAATAAAGCATTTGAAGTCAACCTTGAGTTTCAAGAGTTTTAAAAGGCAACAAAATGTGTTCAAATCACATCTCGTTTTGTTTAAAAGTTTGATTTATTTAGACTTCAGTTCTGAATAAACGCATTTCATTTGTGATTTATTTATTTTTTACTAATTTAATGGTTTTGTGTGTTTTAAGAATTAAGGGGCTTTTTGTGGTTTCTTTTAAAACAACAATTTTGTCTCAGAATAGCATGAAATACCATCTATATTTGTAAAGGGCTACAAATTGGAGCTTGCAGCTCAGCTGATGCAAAAATTTCAATAAAAAGGCTAAAAAATTATCTAGTTTATAAACAGTGCAAAGGCTGTTTAAAATAAATATACACAACCATAATTCATAATTGTGTAAAGTGCTGGCATGGGGGGGGAAGTACACGTAGTGTTTGTATAGCAACAGCTTAAATATGTGGATGATGTCATTTTGCATGAATTAAAAATAGAAAATTTTAGCTGCTTTTTTTTATTAGGCAGCGAGTTTGGCCTGGATAAAAACAGCTGCAACTCCTGGGAGAAATTAGCGTTCCTTGAACTGATCATACTTTATATAACCAACTCTTATTAGTATTCAGTAACATTAAAATTTTGCTAAATTATTTTAACCACTTCATAATTATTTTTGCATCCAGTCATCTCCGGAACTATTTTTGGACGTTAAGGTTGGTCGGAGCCCTATTCTGATGCACAACCTGTAGCATTAGCAAGGCAGCTAGCACTAAAGGTGTACCGTCGCTTCGACCAGCAGGAAATGCTCGGTGACAGGTAAGTGGAGCTCGTCTCAGCCTAAATTATTACATGCTCGGTTTAACGACGGAAAGCTGTACCGGTGATAACGTTAACATAAGTCGACGTGTACGTTTATTTTCCGGCTTCCTGTCATCGTGAAGCTCGCTGTGAGCTTAGTGAACAGTTTAAGTAGCTTTGATGTTTGGAGCTGGCATCTGTTTCCTCGGTGTAACTTATCTCACAGTGTAGTCGCTTTCCACTTGTAATGTCTAACACTTGGTTTTGTTTACTACAATGTTTTCTCTGTGAAATAGTTTTATTGGGCTAACGGATGTTCCTGTCACAGCTTCTCGGTTTGTGTCGGTTGTGTTAAACTCCGCTAAACTACAGTGGCCATAAAATACTTCTTAAAACAGCTATGTGTTAGTAATGTTCCGTGAAGCACATCCATTAGGATGACTCAGTTGACTTTACTTCACAACATGTAGATTAAACAACAGCAGTTTCAGTGTTTGACTGTTTTCTAAATATTTCTTGTTAATGGGTTCAATTTTCTTTATGTTTACATGACTACTTTATCTAAAACAGAAAAAAAAAAACATTCTAATGCAGTTTTTTTGATTCACTAAATTGTATGGATAAACTGAACTTCTATCTTCCCTTTGAAATGGTGTTGATTTAAAAAGCAGATCTATGTTTTATGTGCCAAACCATTAAATAATTCACTAATGATAATGTTCTTTCAATCCCCAGGATTTAACATCAATCTGTGAAAGCGCAGGCTGTGGTGATGTCGGAGCCCAAGCCCCCCAGTCCTCCTACCCCTGGTGACACTTACAAAGGTTGGCTCTTTAAATGGACTAATTACATCAAGGGTTACCAGAGGCGATGGTTTGTTCTCAGCAATGGATTGCTGTCTTACTACAGGTAAATTACTGTACCAGTATCCTACTGAAGTTATGATGTTGTGTAGCCAGTTTTTTTTTTTAATATTTAGTCTTTATCATATGTTGGTGATAAATTGTATTTTAAACAGTAAGACAATCAGTCCAACCAACCAGTAGATGAGAACAAATTTGATTATTTGAGATAACTGGTAGCAAAAAGGTTAGATTAAAAATTCAATTCCTACAATTTTTTTAATATTTAAAAGTAACTTATTTAGCTATTTTTATAATAACACATTGCATCTTGTATATTTTGCCTCATAAAATGTCAGTTTTTACAACTTCATATTTTTCCAAATGGCTTTTTTCCCCGTCTACCTTTAGAACTCAGGCTGAGATGGGTCACACGTGCAGAGGCACAATAAACTTGGCCACTGCCAACATTGCTGTGGAAGACTCGTGCAACTTTGTCATTTCCAACGGCGGGGCGCAGACCTATCACCTGAAGGCCAGCTCTGAGGTGGAGCGCCAGCGATGGATCACTGCGCTGGAACTCGCCAAAGCAAAGGCGGTCCACATGCAGGCTGAATCTGGTGAGGCGGACGAGTGCGTTTGGAAATTGGAGGGTTTATTATTGGCACTCGCAGACAATACTGTCACTAAAACTGTCCGAAACAAAGCTTACAATGTTTAAAGTTACTTATTCAGCCTGTTATTTTTAACAGATGATTCTGGTGATGATTTCCCTGCAGCCCCCCCTGTCTCGGGGCAGGGCGGAAGCTGTCGTAACTCTGAAATCCAATCCACATTGCGTACACTGAGCAACAAGGTGGAGGACCTTTCCACCTGCAACGATCTTATTGTCAAACATGGGTCTGCCCTCCAAAGGTACTGGCTATTCTAGGAATATTATCCAAGAGAGATAAAAATGCTGTTGGGAAGTATTTACTTCCTTGTTTTTCATTTGTTTTTGAGTTGCTTTGTTTTGCAAACGCAGGTCTTTGTCAGAACTGGAAGGGCTGCGTGTTGGCGTTGGGGACATGGGGGAGAAGATCAGACAAGTCGCAGAGAGAGCCACGCTTTTTCGAATTACCTCTAACGCCATGATTAATGTACGGTAAATGTTGGTGGAGAGGAAAAAGCACATTACTGTGTTGAGTGTTATATTTTTAAGATGTCGCTCTTGTGTTTATCAAGGCTTGTAGAGACTTTCTCTCCATGGCCCAGAGTCACGGTAAGCGCTGGCAGAAGGCCTTACAGACTGAAAGAGAGCAGAGGATTCGTCTGGAGGATACCTTGGAACAGCTCGCCAAGCAGCACAACCATTTGGAAAGAGCTTTCAGAGGAGCCACGGTTCTCCCCCCTTCATTCAGTAATCTCACTTTAGTGAACAAAGGTAAGGCTCTTTATCAACCGTCTGTTTTTCTGCCATGTGTCCACCAATCAGATGTGAGCATCCAAGTCCTGTAATTTGTTTTTCTTCTATCCGTCATTATTTAAGGTGGCGTTTCAGGAAAAGGGGATGCCAGCGACGAGGATGATGACATTGAGTTCTTTGATGCGATGGAAGACCCAGCAGAATTCATTACTGTTCCTGCTGATCCAAAATTTCATAGGTTGACATTTAGCTTTTTCACATCATTTCTTTATTTTATTTTTTTGGTTTGTTTGTTTGTTTGTTTCAAACGTGATTGTGTCCTTTTTTTTTCCTTTTAATTAGGAGATCTGGCAGCAATGTCAGTGGGATTAGCACTGAGGCTGGGATGGATGATCAGTCGGTAAATTTGGTCATGTTGTTCATTTTAGGATTTTGTTTTTATTCATTTATTAAGACCGTATTACCTTTGTTGATGGGTTTTTCCCCCATTAGCTCGATGAACTGTCTCTGACATCCAATTCAGAGTCTCCACAGTCTCTTGAGCTGGAGCCTGTTAGACAGAGACGAACTCGTATCCCAGACAAACCCAACTATTATCTCAATTTGTGGAGCATCATGAAGAACTGTATTGGAAAAGAGCTCTCGAAGATACCAATGCCTGTAAGAAAACTGTCCCCATCCTGATACCCCAATTGTTTTTTTTTTTTATTAGCTTTAAATCAAATCATCAGACATCTTTCTGTTATATTTTATTTTCAGGTAAATTTCAACGAGCCCCTGTCTATGCTGCAGCGACTGTCCGAAGATCTGGAGTACTATGAGCTCCTGGATAAGGCAGCGAAGTGTCACAGCTCTTTAGAGCAGATGTGTTACGTGGCAGCTTTCACAGTATCCTCCTACTCCACCACCGTCCACCGCACAGGGAAGCCATTCAATCCTCTGCTTGGAGAAACATTTGAGCTTGATCGCCTGAGGGAGTGCAGTTACCGCTCACTGTGTGAACAGGTATTCCCGTGGTGGTGGTGGTGGTGGTGGGGGGGGGCTCATTTTACACAACTGTTTTTACAGACTTTATCTCCCTACACAGAATGACATCAGAGTTTTCACTGCCAACAAAGGAAAAGCGCAGTAATGTTTTTGCTTGTGTGCATGTGTACATTTGGCTGTTAGCAAAATATCTCAAAAGCCATTGGACACTTATAGCTGATTTAAAATGTCCTCTACATCTAAGACACATTTCAGTCAAAATGTAGTATTATCAGCTGAGAGCCATTCTCAACACATACGCTCAGGACGAACTGATCTCACAAGATTTCTTTTTCAAACTTTGCATTTTACTATTGAAGTTAATTCTGTCTGTTAGCGAAATATCTCACAAACCACTGCACAAATTTCATTGAAATTTGTAGCAATCATTGAATGTACATGTACAAATGATTTAAATCTGGAGTCAGTCCAATTCAACATGGACTTTACAACCAACAGACCTTAACAGTTGTAAAATGGCTGAAATGTTCTTTAGAACTTTGTGCAGCCCAAGTGCACTAAAAGTGACATCAAAAGGAAAACGTTCAGCTACACCTCCGGCTGCTGTGCCAGGAGCTCAAACATGTGGTGCCTAAAACTAGTGCTCTGCCATGTGATGATGGCTGACCACCTTCTCCTGTCTCTTTATTTTATTTTATTTGTCTCTCTCTCTGATAGTGACTCAAATATAGTGACACTGTTCATCTCAGTGGCTTACATATTTTTTACAATATGTTATTAATGTTATTTTTACAAGAATGCATTCATATCTATAACATAAATTTGATGCCACAGGTACGGATGATACTTAGGATTAGGATGCCTCCTGGACGCCTCCCTGTTAAGGTGTTCTGGGCATGTCCCACTGAGAGGAGACCCAGAGGAAGGCATTAAAAATCCATATTTTGAATGTTGCACTTTTTCCACTTCTTCTCAGGTGAGTCACCACCCACCTGCTGCAGCACACCATGCCTTCTCTGAAAAGGGCTGGACCCTTAGACAAGAGATTACACTGGCCAGCAAGTTCAGAGGGAAATATCTTTCTATTATGCCCCTGGGTAAGGATGCATGTGCGTGCTGAGAGACTAATACAGAGAAGATTCTCTTGCTGTTCAAGTAGTGATTGTTGCTTAAAGGCTACTTGTAGCCAGTAAAGTAGTTCTTGTGCAGAATATGATGTATGAGAGTCTGTTTCAGTGTCATTGCTCTTTTTGTCACCAGGATCTATCCAGTGTATGTTCGATAAAAGCAACAATCACTACTCCTGGAAAAAAGTTACCACAACCGTCCACAACATTATTGTTGGGAAGTTGTGGATTGATCAGGTAAAGCTGATGCATGTTAATAAAAACTAATATACTCTTTCAGCCTAATATAATAAATAATGTAGACACATTTAGACTTTTTTTAAAAATTTGTATTGGCATCAATCCCATATCTGATTTGTAGTTTAGGTTTAATAACGTTTTTTATGCTCTGTCCCAGTCGGGTGAAATAGATGTGGTGAACCACAAAACTGGAGATCGTTGCCACCTCAAGTTTGCTCCCTACAGTTACTTCTCCAGAGATGTACCACGAAAGGTAGTCATCAAAAATTTGGATTGATCCGTTTCATGGCTCTGCCTTTTTGTGTTTTGATTTCAGAAGCTTTACTGCAAATAAGAGTAGTTTGGTAATCTGTAAAATTATCCATCCATTCATCCATCCATTTTCTTCCACTTATCCGGGGTCGGGTCACGAGGGTAGCAGCCTAAGTGGAGGCCCAGACTTCCCTCTCCCCAGCCACTTGGGCCAGCTCCTCCGGGTGGAATCCCGAGGCGTTCCCAGGCCAGCCGAGAAACATAGTCCCTCCAGCCTGTCCTGGGTCTTCCTCTGGGTCTCCTCTCAGTGGGACATGCCAGAACACCTCACCAGGGAGGCGTCCAGGAGGCATCCTAACCAGATGCCCGAGACACCTCAACTGGCTCCTCTTGACGTGGAGAAGCCGTGGCTCTACTCTGAGTCCCTCCCAGATGATCGAGCTTCTCACCCTATCTCTAAGGGAGAGCCCAGACACCCTGCGGAGAAAACTCATTTCACTGTGATTTCGTTCTTTCGGTCACAACCCAAAGCTCGTGACCATAGATCAGGGTAGGAACGTAGATCGACCAGTAAATCGAGAGCTTTACCTTTTGACTCAGCTCTCTCTTCACCACGACAGACCGATACAGCGCCCGCTTCACTGCAAACGCTGCACCTATCCACCTATCGGTCTCACGTGCCATTGTTCCTTCATTCGTGAACAAGACCCCAAGATACTTGAACCCCTCAAGAGGGCACTGTATCCTTTTCCGTCTCAAGACCAAGGCCTCAGATTTGGAGGAACTGATCCTCATCCCGGCTGCATCGCACTCTGCTGCAAACCGCTCCAGCGAAAGCTGTAGATCACGACCTGATGAAGCCAATAGGACCACATCATCTGTAAAAAAACAGAGAAGCGATCCTAAAGCCACCAAAACAGATCCCCTCAACACCTTGGCTGCGCCTAAAAATTCTGTCCATAAAAGTTATGAACAGAATCAGTGACAAAGGGAAACCTTGGCGGAGTCCAACTCTCACCAGAACGAGCCCGACTTACTGCCGGCAATGCGGACCAGGCTCTGACACCGGTTGTACAGGAACCTAACAGCCCGTATCAAAGAGTCTGGTACCCCATACTCCCAGAGTATAGCGGTCGAACGCCTTCTCCAAGTCCACAAAGCACATGTAGACTGGTTGGGCAAACTCCCACGCCCCCTCCAGGACCCTGCTGAGGGTGTAGAGCTGGTCCAGTGTTCCACGACCAGGATGAAAACCGCACTGCTCCTCCTGAATCCGAGGTTCGACTATCCAACAGACCCTCCTCTCCAGAACCACTGAATAGACCTTACCAGGGAGGCCTAAGAGCGTGATCCCCCTGTAGCTGGAACACACTCTACGATCTGTAAAATTATGAAGATGAATAACATTCTTGTGACGTGTTGCGGTTGTTCAAACTATGATTTTTTTTTAACTTGTTTTTTCACTGAATGTGCTTGTTGCACAGTTTTTAATTTGTAAACATTTTCAAAAATGTAAGTTTTAGAACAATAAATTCTGTTTATAAGACGTTTAGTTGCAGTCTGAAAGTTTTGTTGAACGTCTCTTCCTCCAGTAACAAAGTTTTTCTAATACAGTAGTCCCTCACTACTTCGCAGTTCGTTTTTCGCGGACTCGCTCTTTTGCGGTTTTTCAAAATAAGAGTGAACATGACACACAGTGGGCTGATTGATGGATGAGCCGCACGATTGGCATTTTTGGAATTTTTATTTAAAATGAATTATTTTAAATTATTTATCACCTTCTGCACCTGTGTGCAGCCCACACTACATGAGAAACTTACTCCTGCAGCTCCTCCTTCCTCCTCTGTCGATCTCCGTTCTTCAGCGGGGAAGTGGGCGTGGCCAAGAGCGGCACAGAGCTGAAATTGTTATTCTGTGCTCTTTTAGAATGTTTAGTTTAGAAACATTGTTTAGAATATTGCACCGTGCTAAACGAGGGACTACTGTACAAATAGGATTGTACCACAGTTAAGTCGATTTCTGTCCAGACTGTAAACAACACACTTGCCTAACGAATAGAAATGAGGTGGTATTTTTCTCTCACAGAGACTATCCTAATTTGATTGCAGTCGTTACTGAAACTTGTGTGCTCCCCCCAGGTAACCGGAGTTGTAACGGATAAGGATGGGAAGGCCCACTATGTGCTGTCAGGAACATGGGATGAGAAGATGGAGTTTTCCAGAATAATGCAAAGCACCAAAGGCGAGAACGGCACTGAAGGCAGACAAAAAACTGTTTATCAGACCCTCAAGCCAAAAGAAATCTGGAGGAAGAACCCTTTACCGTAAGGATTTATTTAAAAAAAAAAAGTTAATGTGGACATTGTTAAAAATGCAGAACCTATGTTCTATTTATTGGTGATGAAATTGCAGAGAGGGAGCAGAGAATATGTACTACTTCTCCTCGCTTGCCTTGACACTTAATGAGCCCGAAGAGGGAGTGGCGCCAACGGACAGCCGGCGGCGCCCTGATCAGCGGTTTATGGAGGAAGGTCGCTGGGACGAAGCTAATGCAGAGAAACAAAGGCTGGAAGAAAAGCAGCGCTCTACTCGCCGAGAAAGAGAAAGGGAAGCTGTGAAAGCCGTCAACTCACCTGAAGAAGGTAAAAAAAATGTTGAATGCTTTTTTGTGTATTTATTAACCACATGTTTATATCTACTGTTTCTCACTCAATTAATATTTTAGTCCTCTTTGTTTTGATGTTTGGGCCTCTTCAGACTAATATTGTTTGAACAGTAACAACTTTTAGCTCTTTCCACACTTCAAATAACAACATGGGGCCTGATGCACCTTTTTACCTTTTGCATCCTTATAATTTACTGGAGTAAACACAAACACAAGGTTGTAATTAAATGCGGGTGTTTCCACATTTTCATTCTGCGGCTGTGGCTCAGTGGTTAGAGCAGTCGTCCTCCAAAGCAAGAGTTGGGGGTTCGAATCCACCAGCAGTCACATGCCGAAGCGTCCCTGGGCAAGACACTGAGCCCTTCATTGCCTCCGATGTGTGTCCCATCGTTGTTTGAATGTGATAAATCTGATTAGTCTCTTTAGAATGGTTTGTTCAATTAGCTTTGTAGAGATCTATTAGAGTGCTGTATGAATGTGTAGATGAGGCACAGATTGTGTTGTAAAGTGCCTTCAGTGTCTTGATAACATAGAAAGGCTCTTTATAAAAAAAAAAAAGTTGCCACCAAAAACAAAGGTCACACACTAATATTTTGTTGGACCGTCTTTAGCTTTGATTACATCATGCACTCACTGTGACATTGTTTCAATGAGCTTCTGCAATGTCACAAGATCTATTTCCATCCTGTGTTGCATTAATTTTTCACCAAAATCTTGGATGACTCGACACTAGGCATGATGGGTGCATCACTTCACCTGCCTCTCTTCTTATCCTGATGTGTCCATCACTCTGGAACAGGGTAAATCTGGACTCATCAGACCACATGACCTTCTTCCATTGCTCCAGAGTCCAATCTTTATGCTCCCTAGCAAATTGAAGCCTTTTTTCTGGTTAGCCTCACCGATGAGTGGTTTTCTTGAGGCTACACAGCTGTTCAGTCCCAATTCCTTGAGTTCCCTTCACATTGTGCGTGTGGAAATGCTCTTACTTTCACTATTAAACACAGCCCTGAGTGCTACTGTTGTTTTTCTATGATTTGATCAAACGTTTAAGTGATCGCCGATCACGATCATTCAGGATTCTTTGTCCAGCCATATTTCTTCCTCAAAGACGATGGGTCCCCACTATCCTTCCAGTTTTTAATAATGTGTTGGACAGTTCTTAACCTAGTTTTAATATTTTCTGCAATCTCCTTAGATGTTTTCTCTGCTTGATGCCAATGATTTGACCCTTCTCAAACAGACTGACATCTTTTCCACGACCACATGATGTGTCTTTCAACATCGTTATTTAAGAAATAAAAAGCAACTCATTGCACCAGTTGAGGTTAAAAAACTTGTTGCCAGCTGGAAGATAATCGTCCATGCAGTAATTATCCAGTAGGAGGCTCATACCTATTTGCTTAGTTAAATCCAGGTGGTGACTTTTTTGGCCAGGCAGTGTATGAGATTCTATTCAGGTCTCTATTGTAAATGAGTCTCCAAGGCTCAATGGGATTAACCTGTATAAATAACGGTTGAATGAAAGAATGTGTCCAAAATTATTTTGTCTTCATGTAGTATGACATATACTGGATATATTCATACTTTTAACGGGTTCTTCATTTTTCTGAACTGTGTAAATGTCGTGCATTGAATTTAACAGAAATGTAACGAGAGACGTTATTTATCTTTGACCCATCAAAATGAATGCGGTCATTTATTTACAGAATCAAAGTTTAACATCAAACATTTACATTAATTTGGCAAAATATGAAAATAACAACAGCATAGTTTTACAGGAAGTGAGAACAATACGGCGATTGTTTTCACTTTTCAGCTAAAACGGCAGACATTGGTTAATCAGTTTTACAATCAGGAAAACCATACGGCCATGATTTTCCGTTGCATCACCACAGACATTAATGAAAACATCTGGATTAATTTTCTAGCAGAAAGGA